CATTTCCTGAAGATTTCAGGAATACTGCATAATTGTGACTGTTTCATGCAGAAAATTTGGAGTATACTGGACAAATATGAGGAATGACTTTCGGTTTAAAGAGGTCTAGGGTAGTCTCCTTGATGGAACAGATTCATCAGGCAAATGCTTTCTTCTCTTGTTCTACCCACCTGGACCACTACAAGCAGCTTGTCTTCAGCTGGTAGTGGCAAACCTTCATGATTCAGCCTAAGAGATGAACAACACTACAGTTTGGCACAACCAAGTCCCCAAGATCTACACCATCCATCCCCAGGACAGCATGGCGGGCCACTCATTGATGTCACGCTTACTCTAGACAACTGGAAGGGGCAAGAATCTCAAGTTTCGGGCCAGGCGCTCAAGCCTGCAATCCCAGCACTTTGGGAGGCTGAGGCAGGTGGGTCACGAGGTCAAGAGATCAAGACCATCCTGGCCAACATGGTGAAACCCCGTCTCCACTAAAAATAGAAATATTAGCTGGGCGTGGTGGCACGTGCTTGTAGTCCCAGCTACCTCCGGGAGGCTGAGGCAGGAGAATCACTTGAACCTGAGAAGCGGAGGTTTGCAGTGAGCCAAGATTGCAGCACTGCACTCCAGCTTGTCATCAGGGCAAGACTCCATCTCAAAAAAAAAAAAAAAATCCCAAGTTTTGTGGTAAAACATCTATACTTGATTGGATCCTTCGGGAAAAACTTGCCACTCACAAATTGCTGGTCTATCCTGTCTATCCCACCAAGCATGGTGGGCCTCCTCCAATCTTGGCGAAAACACTTATATTTGGGTGTTCCGCTCCAAATGCATTTAGCAGGTAGACCCCAAATTTACCACCCATAAGTGGAGCCTTGAGCAAGACATTCTCTGGGTGGTCCACGTTGCAGCATGGTTCTGGCAACTCTGCCTCTTGCAACCTTCCAGAGCTCACCGTCTGCAGCAGATCCAAGATCTAGAGACCTCGTTTTGAGCAAGGCCATGTCCATCAAGTTAACAATCCAGGGTTCTGCAGAGATCAGGCATTCTACTGTAGGACATCACATGACTCTGCAACCTGGACTGGATGAGGTCTGAGAGGCTACCTGTGCACCTGGCTGCACTCTGTTCCACTAGCAGGGACAGAGGGCACTGGGTTTCAGTTAACCCTGAAGGTACCAGTAAGCTGCCAACTGGTGCCTACACCAAGACGGCTGTGGGTAGAGAATAAAAACGCTGACACTTGCTTTCCAGGTGGCTCTGCATGACATAATAGCATCAGCAGACAGTGAATGCTGAGTTCCAGCCCCATGCAGGACAGCAGTGGAATCAGCCCAAAGACAGAGCTGCAAGGTGTTGACATGTCCTCCATCTGAACAGACAGATGGCTTCTGTCTGGATCCTGGTATAGAGGCCTTGGAAAGAATAAAACTGGAAGATGGAGACAAAGAGGTCCATGGAGGAGTGTGTTACATAAAACCAAACTTCCTAACAGGCCTCTGTGCCACATCATCAAAGGCTTCCATTGCAGGGGGCCAGACAGCCTACTCGTCAAACCACTGCCCACACGTGCCCATCAGGTCTTACTCCAGATGCCAAGCACCTGAAAGCAGGGATGCTACTGTGCTCTGGCCAGAGTCGGGGCCAGGGAGATGAGCTATTCCCAGCCTGAGGAGGGAGGCCAAGGCTGAGGAGTGCAGTGCTCCGAGGAGGGTTGGGTACCAGGTACCACCTCTGCTTGCACCTTAATACCTGCTTCCTCACCTGCAACGAGTTGCCCATACACCTAAAAGGTTTTCATTTCTTAGGTGTCCTCAGGCTTTCCCTGCAAGGTGGGAGTCACGGAGAGAAGCTGGAGTTCACACGCATGGCAGCAAAGGGAAGCTGCTCTCGTTAAGAAACATTTCCTCCAGCTCATCGCAGACACTGCTTGAGGACCTGTATCTGAACAAGGACTGCAGACCTATATACTCACTTCGTCATCACAGGTATTCCTGGTACCCACAGAGTTTGGTCCAAGTGCTTGCCAAGCTACACTAACCTCATAAAGTCTTGGTCCACCAGGTCTTCCCTGCCAGCAGCAATCCGCTGGGTGGCTGAAGGATGCTGGTGATGCCAGGGCACGTGTAGGTCACATGGGTAGAGAGAGCCACTCTTAAGTGAGCTCCCTGCTTTCAAGTTGCACAGCCTGCCAACCCTAGCTTTGAATATTTAACCCTTCATGACTTCATCACCTGTAAGGCAAAATACAACCTTTGTGGAACTCAGAAGAAACAGGGTCTCCTCTTGCCTTCTGGGTCTTGGATATACCAGACTCTGGCCTGCAGAGCCCAGGATAGAACAGAGGCAGGCCCCTGGCCAGTGGTTAGCTTGTGGCCCAGGTCCTGGGTGACCTCTGCTCCCGGCTAGAGCCCTAAAGCTCCAGATGAGAGATCACTATACTTTTCCTGTAAAAAATTAAATATTTTGGGCTTTGCAATCCATATGGTCTCTGTGCAACTAGTCATCTTTGCCACCGTAGTGAAGAGAAGTCAATGAATGGGTGTGGCTGTGTTCCAACAAAATTTTATTTACAAAAACAGGAAGCAGGCACGTTTGGCCCTCAGATGTAATTTGTCCCATCACTACCCTTAATGATACTCAGATGGCTTGGCTGCCTGAGGAGGTTGTGGCCCTGTCTGATCTTCTGTGAGATGGAAACCACTCCAGAGTTTCCTGCTGTGCTGACCCTGAACAGGGAGGGCACTGTGTTTGGAAGTTTCTGACCAAGTGGTGACAGCAGAGGGCAGAATGTGAAGGCTGTGCTGGAAAAGGCTGAACCTTCCTCATAAGCAGCATGGACTGACTGCTTTATTCCAGGTCAGGCCCAACTCTCCCACCCCCCCATACACATGGTCCCTGGCGGGCACTGTCTTCTTGGGTCCCTAGGAGCCCCTGCGTTGTGGCCTGACCACCAGCCCCTCTCTGGTGATGGCCCAGTTGTAGCTCTTCGGGGAGTCCAATGCTGCTTCCACACGTGCCTCCAGGTTCTCTCGGGTGATGAATTTTTTCGCTTCCTCCTATCAGGAGAGAAAAGCCCAGCTGAACAGGAGCCCTAGGCACGTGCCAGCCTGCTGGCCTTTCAGGGAACCACTGAGAAAGCGGTTCCTGCTCTCCCTGGGGAAGTATGCCTGGAGCCCAGGTCCTCTTTGAGAGCCCCGCTGGCCTTCCAGTGGAGTAACATCAGGTGGTTTTGCCACATTCCTCTTTTCGCAGACACTTCAGCCAGAACCCGGAGCACCAGCTATGAAATCTCATGTCCCTCAGTGGTCCCCTCTAAATCACTCTAACTTGTCCTTCCCCCTCTATTACTTTATTTATTTATTTATTTATTATCTTGAGCCGGAGTCTCACTGTCGCCCAGGCTGGAGCGCAGTGGTGTGATCTTGGCTCACTGCAACCTTCGCCTCCTGGATTCAAGAGATTCTGGTCCCTCAGTCTCCCGAGTAGCCGGGATGATGGGCATGCACCATCATGCCTGGCTTTTTGTATTTTTAGTAGAGACAGTGTTTCACCATGTTGGCCAGGCTGGTCTCGAACTCCTGACCTCAAGTGATCCACCTGCCTAGGCCTCCCATAGTACATGGTACTAGGATTACAGGCGTGAGCCACCGAGCCCAGCTACTTCTCTATTACTTTAAATCAAGCCTCACACATTCTCACTGCATCACTGGTAGGTGGTCTCCCTGCTTTTAAGCCGCACGCCTGCTAATCCTGGCCTGAAATATTTAACCCTTCATGGCTTCATCACCTGTTAGGCAAAATACAACCACTTTGTGGAACGCAGGGTCCCTCCCACAGACCTGCTAGGCACCTGAACACTGTCCAATTTCTCTGCTCACCTCCGGGTCTTTGCGGCTGACTGACATTCTCCTCTCCCAAATCCTGACATGCCAACTCTAAGTCTCTGCACATGGCCAGAGCCCGTGTCGCGGTGCCCAGAATTCCCAGTGCCCTGCAAGCCTCGTCCCCAGCTCAAGCCCCACTCCCCGGAGGTGTTGCTCACCTGCAGCTGCAGCACTTCCCGCTCCTTGAGCTGCGCCCAGGTCCGCGCCTCTTCGGCCTTGCGGGCCTGCTCCTCCACCTGCCGCTGCTCCTGTTCCCGCGCCTCCTGCCGCAGCCTCGCTATCCTGCGACGGGCAAGGGGCCGAGGCTAAGCGGGGCCTGGACCTCTCCCAGGCCGGGCAGGCTGCCCCGCCCCGCTTCCCGCCCCACGCACCTTAGCTCGTGCAGCCGCTGGTTCTCCGCTTGGTTCCAGGCCATCAGCTCGCGGTGCTCGGCGGCTTCCTCCATGGCCTTGCGCTCCGCCAGGACCCCGGCTCTGGCCTCGTGGGCCTTCCTCCGCACCTCGGACCCGAACTCCATCCTGGGTGCAGACGCGCCGGGAGTCGGCACCCTCTCCGCCCACCCCCACCGTCCCCAGCGCGCGCGGACTGCCACCTCCCCCCGGCCGCACACCTGAGGGCGTGCACGGTCTGGCGGTAATGCTGGTAACGCTCCATCAGCACGAAGAACTCCGCAGGATCCACCGCGGGCGGCATGTTCACGCGCCCGATCTTGGATTTGGCCGGCGGGTCGTGGCGGGTCTTGCGGCCGCGCACGTGCAGCACCAGGGGGGCCCGCGCTCCCAGGCGGCTCAGCGCGCTTAGCATGACCGAGTCCCCTCACCGCAGCCGCGCTGCCAGGACGCCGCCGTGCCCCGGAAGTGGCGCGGGGCACCTCGGGACCTGTAGTCCTCCGGCTGCCCCTCTTGCCCCGCCCGGCCGTGCGGCCTCTGGAGCCCGCGCGGCGACCCTGCGGACATCCGCACTCCGCCCCCCGGCTCTGGCCCGGCCCTCCCGGCAGAGCCCTGGGCCATCCGGTTGTTCCTCCCACCCGCGGGGCCGGGCCCGCGTCTCTCCAACCCTCAAGCGGGGAATGGTCTTAGCGGGGAAGAGAGGGAGGGGATGAAGGACGGAACTCGAGGGAACAGCTTCGGAGACTTCACACTTTATTGGAGGACGGCGGGGCGGGGCGGGGCTCTCGGGCTGCTGTCTGCAGAGGAAGAGGTGGCGGTCATGCCTCGGCTCACCGGTCTCATGACCGCCGAGCTACCACCTTCCTGGTCCCCTTCCCTCTCCATTCCCCCAATCCCTATCTGGCTTCCCAGAGCAGACGCGCCCCTTGCCTCCCCTAGACGCCTGAGGATCCAGGGTTGGGATCTCCAGTTCCCTTGGGCATGCGGCCTTGTCCACCCTAAACAAGCCTGTCGCATGGAAACCCGAGCCCATACACACAAATCAGGCAGTAAGGCTGCCTCATAGGAACTTAACACTTTTTTCTTTAGTTATCGTGCTCTCCTGATGCACTTTAAATGTTTGATTTGCAAAATAGTAACAAACCATTTCCCCACACCTGTCTTCTGCTATGGTCTTGGGGAGCTCTGCAGTCCCTGAGATGTTCCTAGTGCACATGTCAGTGACCACCTTGTCCTCTTGGCCTTGTTGGCTATTTGTGTGAGGTTGCATCTCTCATCTCTTTCCACTGGCCGGGGGCTGCCTGCCTCAAAACAGTCATTGGCTTGATTGTCAAGATGCCTGTGGGATCGCATGGCCACCACTGTCTTATTTATGGAGGTTTTTAGAGCAATTATCTGCTTCTACTCTACTAGTGACTTTGGTCTTTAACCTAAGTGTTTTTATAAATTGTCTAAAATCCTCCTGGGAAATAAAAAGGATAGCAGATAGCACCCTGCTGTGTGCAGTAGGGTCACTGAGAAATGGCTGGGAGTGCTGTGGCAGGGGGCATCTCAGTGCTGTTTCATTCTCCCCCACTCTCCCAGCCCCCAACCCTAAGCCACAATGGCCACTGGTCTTGATGCTGGGGTCCTTTCACCCCACTCACCAGTAGTGTCTGTGCCAGGTGTTGCTTCTGGCGAAGGGACCACCAGGCTGTGTTCCTGCCCTCCCAGGGCATGCTGTCTTCCAGGAGAGCCAGGGCATCACTTGAGAGGCCATGGGCAGACTGGGCTGGGCTGCCTGCTGCAATGCCCAGGGCCCTTCCTTAGAAGGGTACTGAGGCTGTCCTCCCTACCCCGACTTCAGGCTCCAGGTGGGTGGGGGAGCCCCTAGCCATCACTTTCTTCCTCCCAATCAGGCTGGGAGACCCATTACCTACCTGGGGGCCTAAGGGCATTCTGGGGATCCTGGGCTGAGCTGAGGGCTCGCTTTCCTCCAGGGTACCAGCCATGGGACCAGTGCTGAGCCTCTGAGGGTCCAGTATGCGCAGTCAACAGCACCAGGAGCAGGAGGAGGCCTTGCCTGGAGCTGGCCATGGCAGGCTGCTCTAATGGACAGGGTACAGCATTCAAGGAATCTTACACCACCCCCACATTCCCTCCTTCTTCCAGGTCCACCTTGGAAAACTAGCATCTCAGGGGTAGCTTTGGTATTTCCTAATGCCCTTCTCTCTCTGCCACTACTCCTCATGCCAAGCATACAGGGGTCCAGACCCTGGGGAATCCTGGCCCAGCAGGGGAGGATGCTCCAGGGGACAAGCCTTCTCCCTGAACCCAGGGTACAGAAGCTAACCACCTTGCCAGCTCTGAGGACCCTCCCACTCATCCAAGACCATCCCTCTTCCTTCAAGGAGTGGAAGAAGTTGGAGGGGAACAGACTTCAGGCCAATGGATAGGAGGATAGATGGATGGTCAGGAGAGTTCTCAATGTGGGGGTGTTTGGAGCACCGGTGCTAGGGAACCAGAGTGGCAGGCCTTCTGCCCTTTTCTCTGTGGCCTGCTGTATCTCTTCCATAGCAGTTGGGAATGTGGAATGGATGTGTGGTGTTAATGGGAGCAAGTGCTTCTACCTCTTATCCCTCCCATGCCAGGGGCAGTAAGCACAAGAATAGTTGGTAGAGTTGTGGGGGAGAGGAGATGGAAAGGGGACTTTTCTGGGCATGGTTCAGGGGTGGAGGGATTTGGGAGTGGGGAAGAGGAGCAGCATACCATGCACCCAGGATGGAGCTCGATCCAGGCGAGGAAGAGCTGTGGATGAGATGGCTCCTTCAGGCGGCTGCAGGATCCTAGCCTGATGGCCCCAAGATTTATAGGCCAGGCAGCTCCACCCTCAGACTACAGTGACGTCTTGAGAGGGGAGGGGGAGCAGCTCACCACCCAACCCCCTTCCCAGACCATTCCACAAACATTGACTGGCAGCTGCTGGCCTGAGGCCACTGACAGATGGCCCCTCCCCACCACCTTCCCAGGAGCCTCCAGGCCGGGGACTCCTGCTCCAGGCTGGCCTATGTCCTGGTCTCATCTTTCCACTTCCTAGGCTGCATCTTCAAGCTCCTGATCTTGAGGCCTAGAAAGCCCACACAGCCCTCCCTGACCCCAAAAGAGAGCTGTATCCTGGGTGGGGGAAATGCCTGGGGGTTTCCAGACTCCCAGCTCAGGGCTTTCCCTGGTGGACACCTAAGAGTAGGGAGCCTGGCAGGCTGTTTAGAGGTAAAGAGGAGGCTTTGACCACTCTCCTTGAGAGCTTCTGTTTGCTCATTGTAGAACGTGTTGGGTGGGACAATTCACATCCACACACCTGGGAACCAGCGCTGGCTGGGTCACTCCAGATGGCTGGGTTTGGGTGGGGCAGTACCTACCCAGGAGTGGCTTTCCTTCCCGCCAAGAAGCGGGCTCGAGATGGGGCCCAGCTGTTGGGACAGTGCAGCCTCCCTAGGGCCATCAGCTGTGGGTAGAATAATTTTGTCCCTCAAGGCTTTAACCCCTCCCCACTTGTGGATTTGGACACAGCTAGCCTGGGCCACTGAAAGTGGGCTCCCGCCTCCCAATCTGCGTCAGCAGCTCAGCTTTCCCCCGCCAGCCCTCAGCCTCTAGGGGTCAGAGGCCTGTTTACAGGGTTAATAGCCAATCTCCACACTTGGGCTGAACAGCAAATGGGAGAGCCAGGGTCAGGCTTGGCATCCTGGTGGCCAGTCATTAGGAGAGCAGGTGAATCAAATCCTGTGACGAAGATCGGGGAGGGGAGGTATACTAGTCATCAGTCAGCTCTGGACACCTGGACTTCTGCTGCCGAGGCAGATGGGCACACCTGTGAATTTCCAGAGTGACTTAGCAGGGACCCGAAAACGAATGTGTGGACCATAATGTTCAGTTAAACTGTTTTGGTTTAAATACACACTTTGTTAACCGGACAATTTTTAGGAAAACATTTGCTTTGTGGTTTAGTGAAAATGAATCTAAGTTCAATGTACTAGTTTAGTTCTGGTTTGGGTTTACAGAATGCTTTATTCAAAGCCACACCAAAGCTGGTGTTCATTTAAAAAGGGAATGGGTGCCTTTATTCTGTAATTTGATTCCAGTTTTTCCTGAAAAATCTAAACCAGAGCTAAGCTTCCTGGGGAAAGAAAGCTCTGCTCCCTTATTTTTCTGGCAACATACATAGCTTTGTAGAAATGTCTGATGTCCTTTTCAGACTATCAACTCTGGAACTCTTACTTTTTTTTTAAGACGGGGTTTCACCATGTTGGTCAGGCTGGTCTCGAACTCCTGACCTCAGGTGATTTGCCTGCCTTGGTCTCCAAAGTGCTTGGATTACAGGTGTGAGCCACCACGCCCGGCCAACTATGGAACTCTTGTATCCCTCTCATTAGAAGATAGAAAGCCATCTGTTCACCATGGAGCTCCAGTCCTCAGGAGCTGGAGCCATGGGCTGCGCGTACTCAGGTGGGAAAGCAGAGGTTCAGTGGTGAAGAAACACTCAGGTGCTGCAGGAGCACAGAGGGGCATAAACCCTGAGCAGGTGGCCCAGGTGAAGGACGAGGGGTGCAGCATAAGGAACAAAATGAAGGGCCAGCAGGAACTGCCGTAGATCCATGGGCCTGGAGAACGCTGGAGGGTCAGAGGAAAGGAGTGGGCCCCTAGCCTAGGTGTGGGCAGTGGGAGGCAGGCATCTCTGGACAATCCTAACATGCGACCAGGATGCAAGGGACTTGGGATTGGAGGAGAGCTGAGGGTCCACAGAGACAGATCCAGAATCCCAACCTCTGAGAGAAGAGTTAGTGGAAGAGCAGCTAAAGGGTGAGAATAAGAAGCAGAGGACAGCCTGTGACACAAACGGGAAGAGACCTTGGATCCTTGGGGTTTAGTACCACAGTGACCTTGGTGAGCAGGGATGAAAAAGAAATGTGTGGGAATGAAGTAAGGAAGAGGGAAGAGTGAGAGTACAGGCTTTTTCAAGCAGTCTCTCATAAAGAGGGAAAAACTTAGGCCTGGGGTGGGAGTCTCGCTCTGTCACCCAGGCTGGAGTGCAGTGGCGCCATCTCGGCTCACTGCAGCCTCCGCCTCCCAGGTTCCAGTGATTCTCCTGCCTCAGTCTCGCCGGTAGCTGCGATTACAGGCACTCACCGCCACACCTGGCTGATTTTTCTATTTTTAGTAGAGACAGTTTCACCAGTTGGCCAGACTGGTCTTGAACTCTTGACCTCAGTTGATCAGCCCTGGCCTCCCAAAGTGCTAGGATTACAGGCATGAGCCACCACATTTGGCTTATTTAGTTTTCTGAGACAGGGTCTCACTCTTTTACCTAGGCTGGAGTGCAGACGAATGATCACGGTTCACTGTAGCCTCTGCCTCATGGGCTCAGGTGATCCTTCCACCTCAGCCTCCCAAATAGCTGGGACTACAGGTGTGTGCCACCATGGCTGGCTGATTTTTGTATTTTTTGTAGCGACAGGGTCTTGCCACGTTGGTCTTGAACTCCTAGGCTCAAGTGATCCACCCCTCTTGGCCTCCCAAAGTATGAGATTACAGGTGTGAGCCACTGTACCTGGCCTATTCTTAATTTTTTTTTTTTTTTTTGAGATGGAGTCTCATTCTGTCGCCCAGGCTGAAGTGCAGTGGCACAATCTTGGCTCACTGAAACCTCTGCCTCCCTGGTTTAAGCGAGTCTCCTGCCACAGCCTCCTGAGTAGCTGGGACTACAGGTGTGCGCCACCACGCCTGGCTTAACTTTTTGTATTTTTAGTAGAGACAGGTTTAATAGACACAGTGTTAGCCAGGATGGTCTCGATCTCCTGACCTCATGATCCATCCGCCTCAGCCTCTCAAAGTGCTGGGATTACAGGTGTGAGCCACCACGATTGGCCTATATTTTTAATGAAAGAGACTTGGGTATTTGGGACAGGGGAGCTTATGAAGGAAACTGCAACCCAGATGAACCCTCACCCTTTAAGGACCTGCCCAGATGAAGTGAGGTCTGAGTGTGGTAGGATGTAGGGCTCTGGGTGTGTGGTGGGTGTTTCTCACTTTTCCGCTGTGAGAAACACTCACCCCTATCCAAAGCCCCTTGGGTCACAACTGACTAGCTGTTGGGAGGGCACTGAAGTGGTCACTCCTGCCCTTCCTACACAACTGTGCTGTGTGAGCCTCAGCACATTTTCCTTTTGGCTTATACTAGTTTCTGTTGGCTTCACCTCTTTTGTAAACATGCAAGCCCTGAGTAAAAAGAGAGGTGTGAAGAAGGAGGCATAAAGGGATGAGAGACACATCTACAGCCTGAGGGAGATGGGGAGCAAACAGCTGCCATTGCTACTTGGAGACACTGGTTTTGCACCCAGGTGATGTTTAAAACAATGGCCTATCCATTGGCCAAATCAGCATGGACTCCCGCAGAAAACCACCCAGGCCATGCTGGCACACCCTGCTCAAGGCCAGCCCTGGCAATAGGAGGCAGCCTGCTGGGAGGCACACAGGCGCCTGTGAATAGCCTCACCTGCCCATTCACTGAGTGGCTTGCTGACCCCAGTGCCTGTCCTCCTGCGTTGACTTGAACTTGGTCACACAGAGCACTGAAGGGTAGCTTGCAAGGAGCCAGGAGCTGCTCCCCAGATTTGACACCCCTCATCAGAAATTCCTCAGATTCTGTGTTTGCCTAATTTATCCAAGCTTCTCTTGAGACTAGTGAGTTTTGAGTTTACTCCCTCTTGGGAGTTCCTTAGTTCCTATAGAACTGAGGAGCTTACACTCTAATGACTCACACTCATCTCCTGTAAACTTCCAGAGAGGGTCTGTGGCAGCCCTTACCTCCTGCAGGCCTCCTGGGTCCTTTCTGCACATCGCCTTCCTTCCCACAAACATCCTGGATACGTGGTGCACAGACAGGCTTTCCTCTTGGAGCCACTCCATGTTAATGCTTTATCTGGACTCTGAGGCCCTCTGTAATGTGGCTCCACTGGTCTTTCTTCCTTTTTGCTCATCGAAATTCCCAGCATCCTGTGGGTCCAGTTCAAGTCCCACCTCCTCCAAGAGGCACAGCAGTGCTGACGCCTGAAAATGCCTCCATGGACCAGGCTGGGGTGCCACCTCTCACTCCAGAAGCCTCTAATGAGCCCAGGCATGCACCAGCTCTTTAAAAAAGGCCCTGCCTGACAGCCACAGACACCAGTCTCTTGCTCTTGGTGAGCTGCTCACGAGGCTGGGAGGCAGTGGACACACCCACTCTCCCAGTGAGCCACCAACAAAAGACCACACTTCCCCAGCACTCCCTGTAGTTAGGCATAGCTATGAGCAGGTAAAAACCTACTTGTGGAGCTGATACGTGGAATATGGGGTATGAGTGGAAATGAAAAGTGCAGATTTGGCTTCCTGTCCTTAGAAATGAAGCTGCTGGCTCTCCATGCTTCTTCTTCAAGGTGGAGTATAGACATGGCAGTGACCCAGCTTCAACCATGATGATGAGAATATTGTTAGGAATACTGGGTCTCTGGACAGGACAGACTGTTATGCGAGACATAAATGAACATTCAGCTTCTTTAAGAAACAGAAGTTCAACACTTTTGTCTAACAGGTCACTCAAAACCAAGTTGGAATCTAAGATTCCCACCATCCTGACTTCTAGATCTGAGATACATTCACATGTCAGGAAATGAGGACAGGAAAATGAAAGAAAACGGAATCAATTCAACACAACACATGTGGATATAAAGACTTATCCTGGATAGGGTAACACAATCCAGACAGCTCTGCAGCAAAGCACCACAGAGCCAGTTCCACTTTCCCCTGTGCTCCTGTCTTTAAGGAGACTCAGTGAGGACCTGGCCACCTTCCATAGGGAGGGAGGCTGAGGACCACTATACCAAAGATGTGCTGGGAATGAAAGGAGGGTCCTGGAGATCACCTAAGAGCTGGAGGGGCTGTGCTTGGTGGATAGGAGGAGTTGGGGGACTGTGGCCTCTCTTAGACAGCTCAGAGAACAGGAGGGCCAGAACAGCCAAGGAGAGCCCCAGCCAATATGGCTGCCCCATGCCAGAGAAAGGGAGAGACATTTCCTCAGGGAGTCAAAGCTTTTATTACCTGATAGTCCCTAGTGTGGTGCCAGAGATACCGCTCTGGTCCCATTACTCCCCACGATGTAGGTGATGGGGGCAGGGGAGGGGGCCAGGGAGAGAGGGGAGGGATATTTACAGTGCATGGTGGCATGGGGACAACCACTTTTCTCGAGAGCTCTGAGAACTTTGTGCTTTTTTTTCTTAGTTGGTGCTGAGCTACCTGGAATGGATTTTGTTTATCTTCTTTAGGGAAAGATGTATTAACCAAAGAACAATCCAGCCCAATTTCCTGGCTGAGGGTTTCACGATATCAATCCAAACATCACACTATTTAATTCCCCAATAAAACATTGGAAAAAGGACTATCAGTGCTAACACATTTACATATAAAATCTCCACCTAATAGGTAATAGAAGCCTATGTACCAATTTCTAAAACAGTTATAAGATATATACACAATTTGGGGTATATTAACAAAACAGAATATTACAAAATATTAAAGGCAATCCCTCTGGTCCATGGGCCCTTGTTGCCGCCTACTTGAAGTTGGCATAATCTGAGAACGCATCAATATATTCCTGCACCACCTTGTAGCAGAACTCATACTGTTCCTGGAGAGTGAAAGGCAGGGAAAAAGCCAGGGTTACTGAAGAACACACAGTACCTGTAATTCCTAACAGACTTTTTTTTTTTTTTTTTTTGCAGATGGAAAATTGAGAGGAACGGAATGTTTCTAAACTTCCACCTGAGCTCTGATCTGCCTGCCAGAGTTATGACAGCATCTCCCTTCTGGGCTGAGTGCAGCAGACCTTCTACAAGCAGAGCTGACCAGAGCTGACCCAGGCCTTACAGAGGTCAGACATGTGTGTGCTGGGCTGGGAGATGGTGAGGCTGAGCATGGCCACACTTACCATGGTTGCTAGGCTCGCATGCACCCTGGCTCTCAGAACCTTGTCTCCCAAACCTCCTAACATTCACTTTTCTTTCCCCCTCAAACATTTCTAGCTCCATGGGATTCAGGAACACCTCTGTGGATGTGCAGCTTGTTAAAAGTCAGACCTCTTAACAGGGAGCCCAAGCCCAAAGGCAGGTACTCCTCCTGGTCTTCCTTACCTAAGATCCACACAGAAGTGCAGATGAGCCCTGTGGGGCACCCAGACGCCCTCTTCTAATCTGTCCCATCCTCTGGTAACAGGGGCTATGCACCCACTGCTGCCGTCCTGCCTCCCATTATGCTTCCTGTGTATTTGGGGCACCTCTGGAGGGGAAGGGCAGGTCTGTGTTTAGACAGTTTTCTGACTACTGGGTAGGCTCCTCTGAAGAGCCTCCTCCCTGAGCTGGCCCTGACAGAGAAGGGCTGCAGATGGTGTGGTGGCAGGGACAAATATGTAAGGAACATACCAGTGTCTGGACCATGTGTGGCCTCTGTAGCCTCAGGCTCTTGACAGTCTGGAAGACATCCAAAATCCCCTCTGCTTTTACACGCTCCAGGACGGTGCTCAGTGCACAGAAGGTCCCCGTCCTTCCTGCCCCAGCGCTGCAACAGACCAGACACACTTACCACACCTGCAACGGCCCTCTGCACGAAGGGGTGAGTGGCAGACAAACAGGTAGGGGCAGGCGGCCAGTGCTCGTCTTTGCCCTGTGGACCCCTCCCCCAACCCCAACCTGGCCCCATGTGCCATAGAGGGACTCGCCTGTTGGACCGTGGGGATGACCTTTACTCATACCCCACCAGCACAGAGCCATTGCTGTTTACCTGCACACACTGGCCTGGGTTGTCCTAACCTGCTATTTGCTCAGGTTAGAACTAGCTCTAGTCCTGTCTTTCCCTGACAAACCCTACTCCCTGCACTGGCGTGTATCTGCTGATTCTTTTCCATATCTCTCTCTTTCTTCCTAAATCCAAGAAATCTAGACACTGCGCTTGACACTGTCCCCTTGTTCAATGTCATCAGCTGATTCACTCACCAGACACTTACTGAGTGCCTACTCTGAGGCAGGGACTGTAGAGCTTAGCAATGTCCCCAGACAAGAAGATGTGTGGGAAGCGAAGGGAAGATGAGTGGGAGTTCTAGGCAGGGTACTCAGGGAAGGCTTGGGCGAAGCCCTGGGGCTGCCTGGGAAACTGGCATTTCAGGCCCACGGTAGAAGTGTGCCTAGGATGCTAAAGGTCATGTAGCTCATGAAGGAAGAAAGGAGAGTGGTGAGGGTGGGGCCAGAGGCAGCCCATAGTACACATTATCTTCCGCTGGCCCTGGCCAAGGAGTCCTCAGAACATGTTGGGCCTTGTAAGCTGTTGTTAGGATTCTAAGTAAAGGAGTGCATTTTTTTTTTTCTAAAATGCGATCTCTAGCAACATGCCCCAAACAAAATTGAACTTTTCCCCACAAACAAGCCTCTTTACTATCTTTCTTCTGCTGGTCACACCAACCCAGGTTCAAACCTGGGAGACACCCTTGACTCCTCCTTTCTTTCAACCTCTGTTCTTAGTCTTGTTCATTTTTCCTCAATGAACAGACAGGTCAAGCCATACTTATAGTGCACTGTTTTTAAAATAATTGCCCTGTTCTCTTTTCCTGTGCTTCTTAAGGAGGCTGGGCCCTCACCTCATATAGCACAACTGGGGTCTCCACTGCCAGTCTCCCTTGTTGCTGTCCTGCCCACTATCTGAACATTAGTCCCCTAGCACTTATTGTGCCAAGTTCAAGCTCCAGGGTCCTCTCTCAGCATCCAATCCTGTCTTGGCATCAGTGTTGACTACCATGTGCTCACCAATAACCTGCTCTTGTCTGGCTTTCCTCAGTCTGACCCAAGGTCACCAGCTTCCCCCGTTTGCCCCTCCTGGCTTTCTCTCTCTCCCTGAGGACAAGGGTGAGCCATACCTGCAGTGCACGGTGATGGGGTGGTTCCCTGACTGCTGCTGCTGCTTCTGCACGGCGGCGATGATACTGATCATGCCCTTTCCATCACTGGGGATGCCCACTTCAGGCCAGCCATGGAAGTGGAACTGCCGGATCTGCCGGCTCTTATTCTCCTTTGGAAGAAAGGGGATCAGGGGGGCAGGGGTAACCCTGCATTTCCTGTGGGCAGAGTGCACCCACCTCCCATCTTACCCTGGTATTGGTGACCAGGAGGTCTCGGACGGTGTAGCTCTCACACTCCTCCTCCTTCTTCAGTTCCACTGTAATATCTCCATAGGACACCAGTCCATCAGATGGCCAATACTGGGCACATTTCTCCTGGAAGGACAAGTGGGAGAGGTGAGGGGCTCAGAGTACCACATGTGTAGAAGCGGCACTGCCCACAAGCAGCCTGAGCCCTCTTACGCCGACACACTTTGTCCCCAAGGTATTAAAAACTTGCAGGATCATTATATCACATCATTCCAATTAATTTCCGATCCTCACCAGAGGCCATCTGAAACACTGACACGGTCTGTAAAGAACTCTGACTATAGGCTCACAGGGTACCCAACACTTGGTGGCTGGATAGAGAAGAGGAGGAGTGAAAATGTTCCAATTCCTTTCTTTTTCTCCCATGGGGTGTTTTCATAGTTAATGCTGCTTACATCCACCAGACTGCTAATTCAGAAAATCGGAACCCATCACATTCCCAGCCAGCCATGGGCTTCACCACTGCCCAGGCCACTGGATCCTTTCTCCCTTTTACCTTTATCTTTTTGATCTGCAATGGTAACGTCAAGTTGCTAGCACTCGCCTTTCTGTCCTTGCTAGTGAGCAGGAGATGGTCTACTGTCTGTCTTTGCTTGCACCTGGCTCACTTCCCTCTATAGCTCCTTGTGGGAGTGGTTGCGTCTCTTTTCATCTCTGTATTCCCCACACCTTGCACAATGCCTGGCACATGGTAGGCTCTCAGTATCTGGTAAATGAATTTGTTCAATGTCTGCAGAACAAGCCAAGGCATAAATATGTAAATATAACAACACACAGTTATGGTGCCCATTTCTTAAGAGCATTTTGGGGTAAGATCTGAGATTCTTCACTACTGGCAATTGAAAAATTCTCAACCATATGTATACTATAATGTCATTGAAAGATTTGTAAAAATAAGTAGAAAAAGAAATTGTGCACATCTTGATGCAAAATCCACTGTCAACTAAAGGAAAAAAAAAAAAAAGAAATTGTGAAGTCTCACAGTCCAAATAAAATCATGATTATTGAAGTGGTGAATCAAGGACATGCCCTGGACTAGTGCTTTTCCACCCATGCTCTCCAGGGGCCCTGGGGATGCCTCAGGGATCAGCGCTCTGGGCCTCTCTTCAACCAGCTCAGCAAAAAAAAAAAAAAAAAAGAAAAAAAAAAAGAAAATTTCTCATTAAGGCTCACCTTAATCAGGCATTATATTGGTTTTTATGGCACTGATGGGGAACGGTTTTTGCTACCACAGTTCTTTCTCAACACTATTTTACACAGAGTCTCAGCTGGGATGAAACTAGGCCTTTAAAACCATCAGAACCATGAGGTTCCCACATGGGTGTGAGAGCCACAGTGTCTGTGCACTGGAGGAACACAGCCCAATCTCTATCTCTAAGAGAGAAATACATATCAAGTCTGAGGAATACATATCAACATGAAAAGTCTCTAAATTTTTTTTTTTTTTTGAGAGTGAGTCTTGCTTTGTCGTCCAGGCTGGAGTGCACTGGCACGATCTCGGCTCACTGTAACCTCAGTCTCCCGGTTTCAAGTGATTCTCCCACCTCAGTCTCCCAAGTAGCTTGGACTACATGTGTGCACCACCATGCCCAGCTAATTTTGTATTTTTAGTAGAGACAGCATTTTGCCATGTTGGCCAGGCTGGTCTAAAATTCTTGACCTCAGGTGATCCACCTGCCTTGGCCTCCCAAAGTGGTAAGATGACAGGCATGAGCCACTGTGCCTGACCAAAAGTCTCTAAATTTTATATACATGGGTAGATTTTTCTCTCAAGATCTCTGGCCCAAAGAGGATTTCATTTTTTTTTTTTGAGATGAAGTTTTACTCTTGTTGCCCAGGCTAGAGTGCAATGGCATGATCTCGGCTCACAACAACCTCTGCCTCCTGGGTTCAAATGATTCTCCTGCCTTATTATCCCAAGTAGCCACACCTGGCTAATTTTGCATTTTTAGTAGAGATGAGGTTTTTCCATGTTGGTTAGGCTGATCTTGAACTCCTGACCTCAGGTGATCTGCCTGCCTCAGCCTCCCTGTGCTTGGATTACAGGCACGAGCCACCGTGCCCGGCCTCAAAGCGGATTTTTAAGACAAGGAGTGACAATGATTTATATTCTCAAAGGACCAGGGGCTGCCATGTGAAGAACTAAAAGTGGGTGAGGATGAGAGCGGGAGGACCAGTCGCCAGACAGCTGAGGCTGCGTGTATGAGTCAGCCCCACAGTCCACTGGGTAAGCATCAAGAGATGAGAGCTTGTTCGAATGACTGCAGTTATGCTAGGGAGAAGTAGGTGGGGGGGAGTTCAACTTCTATCAGGACTCAGTGGCAGACTGGATGTGGGGGGTGAGGAGTGGGGAGTAAGGAAGGTAACTCCTGGATTTTAGACATGGTGGTATTACTTACTGAGATGGGTAAGAGTGGGGTGGTCTAATGTGGGGGGAAGGAGGAAATCAGAAGCCCACATTGGGACAGGTAACTGGGCTGGAGACGTAGACTGAAGATCCCTGGCATATAGATTATATTTAAAGCCACAGGACTGGCTGAGATCCTTAAGGGCTGGTATGTCAAAAGAAAATGGAGTGGACTAGTGCCTGAGATTAGGATACTCCAATGTTTTAGAGGAGGAGGTCACAAAAGAAGTAACAAAGGAGCTGCCAGGCTAGTGAGTGGGGTGATGCTGTGGAAGTAAGTGTTCTGAGGAGGAAGGAGGCACTGACTGTTTCAAATGCTGCTTGTAAGGACAAAGAAATGAGAAAAGAGAAATGACCTTCGGATTTGGCAAGAGGACAGTCACTGGTGATCTTGACTAAAGCAGTCCTAGTGGGGCTAACATTGGAAGGAACAGGGTAAAGAGAGAACTTGTGGGGAGAAAGCCAACTCTTTTTTTTTGAGATGGAATCTCGCTTTGTCACCCAGGCTGGAGTGCAGTGGCACAATCTTCGCTCACTGCAACCTCTGCCTCCCAGGTCTAAGTGGTTCTCCTGCCTCGGCCTCCCGAGTAGCTAGGATTACAGGCATGGGGCACCATGCCCAGCTAAAATTTTGTATTTTTAGTTAAGATGGGGTTTCACCATGTTGGCCAAGATGTCTTGATCTTCTGACCTCATGATCTGCCCACCTCAGCCTCCCAAAATGCTGGGATTACAGGCGTGAGCCATCTTGCCTGGCCAAAAGCCAAGTTTTTGAAGGAGTTTTGCTAGAAAGGGGTACAGAGAAATAGCATAGTAGGTGGAAGGGAAAGTGGGATAAGCAGATTTTTTGTTTTTAAAAGATAGGAAATGTAACATGTATAGGCTGACGAGAGTAGCGGTTAGAGGGGAAATGCTGATGGAGGTGGGAGAGAAGATGGTTATCACAGCAACATCTCTGAGCAGGCAGGAGGGAATGGGGCCAAGAGCACAGCGGACGGCTGGAGTGAGAGATGCAGAAACCCTTTTCCACTGTAACAAGAGAGAAGGTGAGAGATTTGGTACAGATTAGAAGAGGCTGGTTGTTTGAGGGTGGGAGAATGACAGTGTTCTTGTCTGATTTCTTGAAGAAGAATAAGGCCAGGTCACAAGCTAAGGTGTGAGTGTGATGGGACAGGCAAGAGGGGATGCTGGATGTTTCAGGAAGAGAAGGAAGAGCAGTAGCATTGCTAGGTGGCACCAATTACCCTATGAGATTTGTGGTCATGAGTTCAATGTGAGAGCTTTTGGCACTATTTTGTGTTTTTGCCCAGTGATGTTTGCTATATCAGATGGAGGCATATAATACTGGGTTTTACTAGAGAGTTTGCCATGAAATTAAGAAAGCATAAGGGAATAAGGAAAGATAATGATGACATATCACAAAAACTCAAATTAGCAAACTAAAATGCTCAAAAACAAAACTCAAAACACAAAAACAGAGTAAGGAGGAAGGTGAGGACAAGTCCGGGGTAACTGATGTTGAGAAAGTAGAAGCATCAGTGGCTCTAAGGACTTGATGAAGACAAAAATGACTGGAGTAAAAGAATACTGAGGTGAGAGGAAGGAGGGAGTAAATAGGGCAGATGCCTTGTTGAGATTCCAAAGACGGTGCAGGTACAGGGAAGATCATGACTTGACCACAGGATCAGGTGGCTGAGGAAGCTGAGAAATAGAAAGACTAATGGTAGATGGATCATCCACTTGGTGACTGATGCCTCCAAAACCAGAGTCAGGAACAGGGGCTCAAAAGGAGCAGTAAGCCAGGTGTTAAAGTCATTAGTGGGTGAGGGACAGAAGATGGGGAATCAGTGTTCAAGATCAGTAGAAGAAAGCTGGGGACTGGAGTTTAATCTCAGATTTGTGTGTTCAGGTTATGACCTCTAGATAACAGCATCCTAAAGAAGTGAAACAGGGAAGCTTTTCTGTCTTTTCTCTTACTGATTACTCTTTCCACCAGACAACATGAAGTCTCTCATGTGGTCTAAGGCTGACAATGGTGATGGGGACACATAGCTTTGTGGAGACTAATGCTATCACGTTTCACTAGAGAAGCAGGATGAGGCCTAGGGTTGGCCTGACCCAGCATGGGAGTTCCTGGCACTGCTCTGCCTGCCCAGGCTGATGACAGTCTAAGCTGCAGCTGTGAGGGATTCCAGGCCTTACCAAGCATCTGGGTGGACCCTTTTGGTTACAATACAGCAGAAGGAGGTCTGGTGCAATGGCTAATGCTTGTAATCCTAGAACTTTGGGAGGCCAACGCACATAGATAACTTGAGGCCAGGAATTCGAGACCAGCCTGGCCAACATAATGAAACTGTCTCTACTAAAAATATGAAAATTAGCTGGGCATGATAGCACATGCCTGTAATCCCAGCTACTTGGGAGGTTGAGGTGGGAGACTCGCTTAAACCCTGGAGGCAGAGCTGAGATTATGCCACTGCACTCCAGCCTGGGCAGCAGAGTGAGACACCATCTGAAATCTAAAAAACAAAACAAAACAAAAAAACAAAAAAATTGAGCAGAAGGAGATAATTTTAAATTTTAATTCATTTGCGATTTTAATTTATATAGGTACAAAATTTATATTTTGAGATCAGATTTTTTTCTCTGGGAACTTAATACTGTAGGTGAAGATGGTAGTGTCACTGTATAAATGTAGCCACCTTTCACTGTATCACTTAGGCTTATTGTGTTACTATCTCTAGGAGCTACACTTGATACCATGAATGAAACAGAAATTGAACTTGGGTGCCAGTGAGGCCTTATAAAGAACATCACTAATATCCTGTTCTGATCCACTCAGAAGCTTCTGAGGGCAAGCACTACTGTCTGCTTCACTGGCCCTAGGAAGACAGAGCATAAGGTACAGTGGAAGGTAGAGGGGAAGAGACCTCACTCAACAGGCAGGATAATTTGTGTGCACATGACTCTCCTTCCCACTGCAACATACATGAAATGCTTCCTGCCCCCTGCCCCTTACTCTCACTAGGTCCTTTTCAAGGATGGAAGGGCCTGCATCTGACTGGACAGAGGCAGAAGTGTTCACTGGGCCCCATTTTATCACAGGGCAGTGGGCTGAGATGGTCCTTGCGCTTGCTGTTCCAGCTTTGGCCTGCTCTTTGGTCTTGCCTATCACAGATCTGGAGGGTGGGGGTGCAGGAGGAACCACATGTAGGGCCCTGGTCTGATCTACATGTTCCATCATGACTGATCAGAGAGGGCTGGCAGCAGGCACCTAGCTCCTGAAAACAGGGTGGCTCATTTCCCAAATGGCCTTTGTTACTCAGGTGTATGCTTCATTGAGTGCGAAGCTAAGCACCTTAACCAAACCACCTACCTCATCAGTATTGTTATTTAAAAAAAAAATTTTTTTTCAGTATTGTTATTAATGATTATGAAGAGGCCAGGTGCAGTGGCTCAAGCCTATAATCCCAGCACTTTAGGTCAAGGTGGGCAGATCACCTGAGGTCAGGAGTTTGAGACTAGCCTGGTCAACATGGTGAAACCCTGTCTCAACAAAAATACAAAAATTAACCAGGCATGATGGTGGGAACCTATAATCTCAGCTACTAGGGAGGCTGTGGCGAGAGAACTGTTGGAACTTGGGAGGTGGAGGATGCAGTGAGCCCATATTGAGCCATTGTACTCCAGCCTGGGTGACTGAGCGAGACACCATCGCAAAAAAAAGAAGATGATTATCTTCAGAGTGTCTTTTGATTAGGTACATGATACAAGTCTGGGAAGAATAGTTAATTTAAAATCCTAGCATTTTGGGTCAACTAGGTGGATGGATCACTTGAGCCCTGGAGTTCGAGACCAGCCTGGGCAACATGGTGAAGCCCTGACTCTACAAAATAATACAAAAACTAGCCAGGTGTGGTGGCACGTGCCTTTAGTCCTAGCTACTTTTGGAGGGCTATGTGGGAGGATCGCTAGAACCTGGGAGGTTGAGGCTGCAGTGAGCCACAATTGTGCTACCATACTCCAGGCTGGGTGACAAAGTGAGACCCTGTCTCCAAAAAAAAAAAATTCTGATGTAATGAAACATCAGGGTGAGCAAATATGTATAAAGCCTTGTATCAACATAAATACAGAATAGGGAACAACTAGTGACTTAGGACAACTAATGTAAAACATACTTTGTGTTTAAATGTTTGACTATAAATTCAGTGAGTCACGAGTGGGTGTCGCCCTTAATTCCACCCCACCTCACACTGTCTGGGACCGTCCCCTCTCACCACCCAAGTCCAGGCCACCAGCATTACTGCCATAGCTTCCCCATTTCTCATGTGTCCTCCTCACTGCTGCCAGAGGGATTAAAAAAAACACACACACACACAAATCAGATGTTGTCAAGGGCTCTTCAATTGCTTTATGAAGTCCAAACTCTTCAATGTGGCTTAGAAGAAACTTTCTCACCAGGCTTTGCTAGCTTCTCTCTGGGCCTATTCTCTAGATTCTGATCCCTGCTAAGTGACACTCCAGGCATAATGAACCATTCATTTGCTGCAATGTGCAACCTTCAACAGAAATAATTTTTGAAAGAATAAACACTGTCAGAACACAAGACTGGGTCCCCTGTAATGTGGGGGGTAAGGGAGATATCCCTGAGATTGAATGTGCTTAGTAGAGGCTGTGTAATTCTGACTCAGGAACAGTGTTAGGAGGTTTCCTATACTGAGGAGAAGCTGATCTAGGGGGCTGCTAGGGTCCCTTTTTAGTATGAGTTTCCAGTCAACTCTGCTTTTTAATTGACCTGAGGGCTTTTTTCTTTAAAAGATTTCCTTACTACTGAATATTAAACTGAAGTTTCTTGTTTTTTTAATTTCTCAAATTCTACTGCTTTATTTTGTGTAGTCAGTAAAGAGGCAATCCCTTCTTAGGGCCACTCATACTGGGTCCACCTCAGAACCTTGACCTAGCTGTCCTGTCTGGGGCGCTGCACAAAGGCTAGGCTACCTATATTCAGGAGAAAGTGAAAGGGTGTGAGCTATCTAGGTATAATATGTAGGCTCAGATCATACAGCTTTTCTAGTCCTGAGAGAAGCTAATGACTGCTTAGACACCAACTGGCTGGGCAAGCCTGGAAATGCGTATGTACTTACACACATTTAAGTATGTACTTATACTGTGCAGATATACTCTTTGGATCATATAAGTCAAAGACAAGGTCTTTGCCTCCCCAACCTCCCAATTTACACACACACCTTTTCATTCTGTCTCTGTCTCTCACTGCCCAGGACCTTTTGAGCTCACCTGGCCTCTCTCCTCCAGTTCTGTTAGCATCACGATAGAGCAGGATTTCCACTCCCAGATCATTCGCCAGAAGTCCTCAATTGTGTGGAGAAGAGGGCCCTGGCTGGCAATATAGGAATCCTTCTGCCGGTAGCCCTGCACAGGCCAGGTTAATTTCAAGGGTGAGATGGTTTAATCAGAGAGGAACTAGTGGAGAAGACAGGCCACCAGGAAGGAATGGGGACTGCTCAGAGGCAAACCCAACCCATACAGAGCTACCCTTTGGTCAAGGACTAAACCCTGTCTGATAAGCTGGTCACTTTCTATAAGAGATAGGGAAGTGGATGAAGAGAGCGGTAATGGGAAAGATCAGAGGGCAGCCAGGTTCCTCTTGGCTATGGTCTGCACTGTGAACTTTTTCCTCCAGGTATTATACTGGTGCATGCCATCTGTTTCCCCCAACCTTCTGCTCTACAGAGCTGGACAGACACAGTGTAGAGGGTGAGTGGGTGGGTGGGTATTAATTCACTATTTGTTAATTGATTCAAACATGATCCTCCCCAGCAGGTATCAGAGGGAGGCACTGTAAGTCCCGGCTGAATCTCCATGGGGTGTTGGGGGCTCAGGGGTCACACCCACCACTTACATCAATGAAGGATGCATTCACATAGTCTGTATTCTCTTCGCCCCGCTTAACTGGAATGATCACTCTGTTGAATTCATCTGTAAGAAGGACAGTGGCTCATGGCTAGCCAGTGTCATTTGTCTTCTCCCTCTCCTTGCATTGCTCCCACCTCAGGCCCTGAGCAGATTAGAATCCCAGCTGGGCAAGGACATGTCTGTTCCTAGACCATTAGGGAAAAAGCCTTTGGCCTTTACATTCTTTTATTTCCAGAAGCCACTAACAACAAGAGGCAATGCCACATTGTTAACTGGGTGCAACAAGAGGCAATGCCATGATTCTTGTCTACAAGCCAATCATTAACTAGTACCTGAGAAGTAGAAGGGGTGGAGAGAATAGGGGGATGTGGCAATAAGGTTTTGGGGTGGAGGGAGGGCTCTTACATGGAATGATCTGTAAAACTCGGTTTTTCTTCATGTTGGCTGGAAGGTTTCCAGTCCGCATCTTGTCATTCTGGATTTTGATCGATGTTAACTTCTGAATTGGGAAGGGTGGGGAAACATTACTGATCCCAGTAACTGAACTTGACAAGATTATGCCTGTCACTTAGCCTGTACCTCTAGGCCACTCTGGCTGCATACTGCTCTTCTCACCAGGGCCCTGGTCTCCATTCCCATATGTTCTTATTGGAACACTGAAGCCAAGAGACTGTTTGGGAAACACTCTTCCAGGCTCCTGTGGACTCTCCTGAGATTCTCCTGGCCTGAAATTTTGTGATCCTAGAGCAAGGGATCTCTCAACATTATAGGAGGGAGTGTGTCCACTCTGCAGTTCTACTCCCAGAAGCTGCCTTAGACTCTTCAAAAAAACTTATTCAGAACTGCATCCTTACCCTGATTCTGAGGCTCCTTCTTGACACTTGTACTCAAAGTGTAGCCGGCAGCGTTGGCCTCATATTAGAAATGCAGAATCTCAGGCCAGGCGTGGTGGCTCATGCCTGTAATCCCAGCACTTTGGGAGGCCGAGGTGGGTGGATTAATTGAGGTCAATAGTTTGAGACCAGCCTGGCATACATGCTGAAACTCTGTCTCTACTAAAAAGTAGCCGGGCATGGGGGCACGTGCCTGTAGTCCCAGCTACTCAGGAGGCTGAGACAGAAGAATTACTTGAACCCAGGAGGCGGATGTTGCAGTGAGCCAATATTGTGCCACTGTACTCCAGCCTGAGCAACAAGAGTGAAACTCCATTTCAAAAGAAAAAAAGAAATGCAGAATCTCAAGCTCTAACTCATACTCGCTGAATCAGAACTCACATCTTTTTTTTTTTTTTTGAGATGGAGTCTCATTCTGTCACCCAGGCTGGAGTGTAGTGGCACGATCTTAGCTTGAACCCTGTCTCCTGGGTTCAAGTGATTCTCTTGCCACAGCCTCACAAGTAGCTGGGACTACATGCATGTGCCACCTTTTCTATTTTTAGTAGAGATGGGGTTTCACCAGGTTGGCCAGGCTGGTTTTGAACTCCTGACCTCAGGTGATCTGCCCACCTCGACCTCCCAAAGTGCTGGGATTACAGGTGTGAGCCACTGTGCCTGGCAGAACCCACATCTTGACAGAATCCCAAGGAAATCTGTGTACATGCTGTATTTGAGAAGAAGTTCTCTAAGGAAAGTGGACCTCCCCATCCTAACCAGGATGTCTTGCTTCTGGGAGAGCACTTTTACCAATGAGAGCGTGACATATGTTTATGGTGTGTTGAGAACCGTTGTTTAGTGGCATATAGGAACTATCAGCAATCTAAGGTCCAGAGGCCAAATCTGGCCTGCTGCCTACAAATAAAGTTTTACAAAACAGCCACACTCATTTGTTTACCTATTGGTTATGGCTGCCTTTGTGTTACAAAGGCAGCACTAAGTAGCTGGACAGAAACCATGTGGCCTGCAAAGCCTAAACTATTTATTATCCAGCCTTTACGGAAAAAACTGCTCTTGCTGTATATCATAATCACCTGGGAGGTCTGGGGCCTTAAAAAAATACTGTTGCCTGCTTCTCCCCACTTAAACACAACCTAAGTGATTCCAACTTGCAGGATGGGTTAAGAATTACTAGAGTATGAGGAAAGCGCCACCTCTATAACCAGTGGCATGCCTCACAAGGGGATTCACTGTTGGTAAATGCACAGTCAAGTGTCCCATGTTCCCCAGATTACAAGGATCCTTCAATCTGAAGGAGATTATCTAGCTCCCAATTCACCTTAAACTCCTCCTCTAATCCATTGTTGCTGGTCCCTGGGATTTTGTTGTAAATTTTCTGCAGGTGTGTTTCTAGAGAGGTCACTTCCAGTTCTGTATCTCCATAGAGATAATGCTCCAGAAGGGCTTGGTATATGAAGACATACTGCATCTGAAACACAATTGACACCCAAGTTCTCAGTTACATACAACATAGTTCTCATGCCAGATCACCCGTTTCAGCCCCACTTCACTCAAGTCCTTTTCTCCTTTGATTCTAGCAGGAATAAAAGGATTCCCTCTTATTATCCCAATACAGTGAAGCAGGACTTGAAATGCAGGAGTCCCTGTGCGGGTGCATAACTTGGGAAGAAGGGTCCAGGTCTACGTTAGGGGTGGTAGAGGACAAACTCAATTCCTGCTCATTCTGAGTGCAAATCTGATAGTCTGAAAGGGCTGTCAGAAACTTGAGACACACAAAGCCTATGATAGTCTGGTCCCTGCCTCCCTCTTGGTGCTATGCCCCAACTGCGGAGCCAGTCTCACTGCTGCTCCCAGATGTGGGCGAGCTGCATCGTGTCTCTGGGCACTGGCTCTTTCAGCTGCCTGTTCCCTAATCCTTGAGCCCAGTGAACTTCCTGACTCTTTCAGGCACAAAGCCACAACCTCCTCTGTGCTTAGTTTCTTTGAATACATTATTTATAAGAGCCCTTCATCACACTGTATGATAATCATTTACAATAACCTGGGAGACTGAGTGCATCCTCAATGTGGGCTGATGTTTTAGTCCTGGAACCCCCCCACCCTCAAATGACCCACAGATCACTCACATCTGTTTGCACCATCTGGCAGCGCTGTGCCCGGATCCGGCTCACAAAGCCATACACGTCCACCTTCCGCTCTGTATGCATCATGTCCAGCATGGCATCAATGACGACAAAGGTACCTGTACGCCCTACACCTGCACTGTAGACAGAGAGCAGGGGGTTATAGGGATGGCCCGGCCTGCCTTGTGGGAGCAAACAGGGAGTGCAGCACAGGCTGGGGCTCTTCCTTCAGGCTATAAATCCTAATTCTGAATGGGGTAGAGCTGGGACTCTCCTGGAGCCAACAACTCCAGTATGTCCTGAATCCTGACCTCCAGCTATGAGGACCAAGCACTCTGATACTTAGAAGGGTCCAAAGGCTGCAAATATACATGGCAAGCACTTGACCCAGCCTTTTGGCTTCACAGCACGGTCTCCCCACTCCCAATCTTGGACTGCCCCACCCTCCTTTGAGTCATATTCTCCACCCTGCACTAGAAATTGGGAGTCTCTGGCTGCTGCCCCAATAGGTCATTTGCTCTACGTCAGCCTCCTCAGCCAGGGCCCTTGTGCTGTTCCCCTGCTCTGGCCATGGGGGCAAAATGTGGGGGTGGGGAGGCAAGGGTCAGGTCACACTGACCTGCAGTGGACCACGATGGCCCCTGCATACTGAGGGTTACAGGCCTTCACCTTCTTGAGGAACTTGAGCATGCCGATCGGGGTAAAAGGCACCCCAAAGTCTGGCCAGCTGGTAAAGTGGAACTGAGTGATGAGGCGCTGTGGCTTTCTGTTGGTCATGTCGCCCACCTGTGAAGTGAGGAGATCCTGTATATTGGCCTTGATACCCAAGGGTAGGCAGTACTAGGGGAGGGAAGGTGACAGCTGTGGTTGCCAGTGACAATGGAAAAGTGAGTGTACCCAGAGGAGTTAGTTAACCACAAAGACAAGGTCCCAGAACTAGTCAATGGCAGGGTCAGAACTAAAATTCAGTGCTCCTGACTAAGTCCTCTTTTCGCAGTACCGCCCTGCCCCTTGGCTGAAGGTGACCTTTGCTCAGGTCTCCACGGTTGCCTGGAGGGCCAAGGGCAGGCCCATCACATCCTTGATGTTAGGAGTTTTCGGAGTAGGAAAGGAGAAAGGCGAGCCAAGCACCTAGGAGTCTGTACTGCGTCCTCATGCTCCCTTTCCATAGTGCTTGGTCATTTCTAAATGATCAGACTCCATCTCAGCAGGTAATTTTTCGCCAGTTGTGAAAATGCTACTCCTTTAGCTTTGATAGAGAAGTTCCCCGGAGCCCAGATCTCTGGTTTCAGAATTCAAACACAATGCATACTCAGCAATTCCTGACCACCCTGAGTAAGTGGGGATGACCCAGCCTGTTCCCTCTCTTAGTAGTCAGCAGATCCTACATGAGAACTGAGAAAGGACAGAGAAGACAGTACCTGCTGGATGCAGAACTTCCGTACTGTGTAGTCCACCAGGACGGTCACATCCTCTACAGATACCCGAATATTCCCATAGGTCCAGCAGCCTTGGTCTGGCCAGTATTGGGCGCACTTGCACTGGAAAGAAAAAGCCATGCATTCTCTGACCTTAGACTTCCTGCCCCTGGCAGATGCAAAGGGCCTGGAAGGGAGAACCCAAAAAGCCAAGATTAAAATACTCCAGAAGGCCCTTTGGCCTCTTCTCTACCTCAGTCAGCTACACATTTACTTTTTTTTTTTTTTTTTCTTTTTTTTTGAGATGGAGTCTCACTCCGTTGCTCAGGCTGGAGTGCAATGGCACGATCTCGGCTCACTGTAACCTCCGTCCCCGGGGTTCAAGCAATTCTAACGCAGCCTCCTGAGTAGCTAGGATTACAGATGCCTGTCACCAAGCCCGGCTTTTTTTTTTTTTTTTTTTTTTAGTAGAGAAGGGATTTCACCATCTTGGCTAGGCTGGTCTCGAACTCCTGACCTCATGATCTACCCGCTTCAGGCTCCCAAAGTGCTGGGATTACAGGAGTAAACCACCACGCCTGTCTTTTCCATCCTGTTGAGCACAATCTCCTAATTTACACACAGCCCTAAGTTCATACTACATAATCATGAACATACTCATAAAATCGTTCCCACTGACACTCCTTTGGTTCAGGCAAATATGAAGCCATTTTGCCTTCAGATTTTACAAAATCTGCACTTCCAAACATCTCAGGTCATGCTCTAGGAGAAAGCCTGTTTGAACCCCCTGAACCAGCAGCTTGCTATGAGGGGCCACCAGGGTGGAGTGATGTAGACCGTAAACCTGCCATGAAAGGCCTAGGTCTGAGCTTCGGATAGCTTCCAAGAGCCAGAGGTTTGGTTGGAGGAAACTAAACTAAAGCCCAGCCCTAGTAACTGTCTTCCCACACCATTATGGAGCTGTTGATCACGACACCCAATACCCTTGGATCAAGGTGACTCAAGGGCCACACTTAAGAAGACTGTTAACAAATAGGTAATCCTCTGGGGCTTGATCCCAGGACCCAGGATTGGCTCTGTGGGCCAGTGGCCCAGTGGCCCAGTGATGGAGCTGGTTAGGCCAAGCATGCACTTGGTAGCCACAAAAGAAAAAGGACCAGTCAGGAGTCTGTACCAGGATCAGGCCAAGGCCTCAAATTTCCTTTGGCTTACAGGGTCTCAGTTCATAAAGCTCCCTCTGCTGACTCCAGGATACACCAAAGGTCTCAGCAGGCAAGGCAGGAAACCAGGGAAATGAGGGACTAGAGAAGCCAGGGAAAAAAAGCCCCTCTCTGTGCCTTTTTTTTAGCTGATGACCCAATTCAGTTTTTTTCAGGTTGTTTTGGAACCAGGGTGAGTTGTTTGACTACCAAATATAGGGAATGTGCTCTAGGCATACACCTGAGGTTCATCTGAGGCTTCCAGCCATAGCAAAGTCTGGTAGACTTCAGCCTGTGTGTCATTCTGGATGGACTTCTGGCATAGCACCCATAATGGGTAGACAGCCAGGCTTAAACTCAGAGCTTGTATGCAGAATGATCCCTCTGCTGTTCACAACCAATTTCTCCACTTACCTCTTTTCTCTCCTTCAGGTTGGTAACCATGACGATGGTGGCTGTGTTTTGTTCCCAGATCATCCTCCAGAAATCATTTACCGTTTCTTCTTTTGGTCCTAAAGTAGCCAACAGCAAAAATGAAGAGAACACATACCAAGATCATGTGAGGCTGGGAACATCCATTCCTGACTTTTGGAAGCTTGTGCCCAAATGTCCCCAGCTAAATATCAAACCCATGTATCCATCCCAGCTACTGACTGAGCATTTCCCATGTTTCACCAGGTATGTGCCAGGCACTTCACTAGAAGGAGGCTGGGGGGAAGGTTGTCAAAATATAAACAGAACTCAAATGATGTTTCCCAAGGACATTACAGTTGAGAATTGGAAATCATGACTGCTCACAGAACACCTACCTTATGGGCCTGACAGTGAGTTAAGTGCTTTATATGGCATTTATTCCTTCCTATTATGCTCTGATGTGGGTGTCATCAACCCCAGAAAGGTTGGATGACTTGTTGAGGCTAGAATTCAAAATTTTACCTCCCATATAGCCCTTTTCAGAAAGTCACTAGAAAATCTAAACAATAGAATCAAAGTCCTCGGCCAAAAAAAAAGCAAATTCTAAACAAAAATGAGACAGCAAACAGAGGAAAATGAGATCCAACACAGCAGAGAGGCTAATGGAATTCCCAGGGTGCTGGTGAAGGTAAGTCTTAGACTAATTCTGCCAGAGGATACAGAGCAACCAATCCACAGTGCAACTGAAGAAAGAAGGTTCTAGAAGGATCTCAAGATTAAAAAAATTAAACCTCATGTATCTAATGATACTGAGAGAAGAGATACACTTCTGGTAAAGAGTTTGAGAGGAAAATCAGTGGTAAGTATAAAAAAACACAATGACTGAAAAAAAAAGGGGGCAGAAATAACATACAAAAAAATGACATAATACTGTGTGTTTCGGCTGTGATTTGTAAACTCATAATAATAATAATAAATATTACCCTAACCCCAATTGTGATTTGACTCTTCTGGGAAAATGGGGAAAAGAATATGTGGGTGCATGTCTGTCTGAGGGGGAGGTGGTCTGTAAGGGGATCAGATGATGTCATATACCGTAAGAAGCCAATAGATAAAAAATGGTTGCCCCAGGGGCACTAGACTAGAGATGTGAAAAGAAAAGGGAGAACTTTTGTTTTTATAAATCTTGTAGTCCCTAATGACTCTGTTTTTCTTTTTCTTTTCTTTTCTTTTTTTTTTAAAAGATGGGGTTTCACCATGATGGCCAGGCTGGTCTCGAACTCCTGACCTCAGGTGATCCACCCACCTCGGCCTCCCAAAGTGCTAGGATTACAGGCATGAGCCACTGTGCCTGGCCTGTTTTTCTTTTTTTGAAACGGAGTCTCGTTCTGTCACCCAGGCTGGAGTGCAGTGGCGCGATCTCGGCTCACTGTAACCTCCTTCTCCCCAGTTCAAGCTATTCTCCTGCCACAGCCTCCTGAGTAGCTGGGACTACAGGCACGCACCACCAAGCCCAGCTAATTTTTTTTTTGTATTTTTAGTAGAGACAGAGTTTCACTATGTTGGCCAGGAGGTCTTGATCTCTTAACCTTGTGATCCGCCTACCTCGGCCTCCCAAAATGCTGGGATTACAGGCATGAATCACTATGCCCAGCCTTGATTTTTTTTTTGAGGTGACAACCTCGCTCTGTCACTGAGGCTGGAGTACAGTGGTGTGATCTTGGCTCACTGCAGCATCCGGCTCCTGGGTTCAAGCGATTCTTGTGCCTCAGCCACCCAAGTAGCTGGAATCACAGGTGCTTGCCACCAGGCCTGGCTAATTTTTTGTATTTTTAGTAGAGATGGGGTTTCGCTATGTTGGCCAGGCTGATCTTTAACTCCTGGGCTCAGACAATCTTCCTGTCTTGCCCTCTCAACCCAAAGTGTTAGGATTACAGGTGTGAGACACGGTCCCAGCCTCAATTACTTTTTAATGCTGCAAATATCCAGATGTTTTTGCTGGGGTTCCAAGAGTGAAGACACTTGTGAGAACGGCAGGCCTGGGATGTGTACAGAACACACAAGGGACACAGTACTGGGTCCCTGCTCTAAGGATTCCTAGGCCACCTATCTGTGAATAATGGTGAGCTCAGGCTCATGAGCTGGGGGGGAAGAACCAGCTTGGACCCTGTGAGGTGGCTGATCCTCTCTGGAAACTGATTCCTAATTTGAACTCTGAGCAACATGGCTGGAACCTAAGGTTAATTAGCCCCAAGGACAGAGGGCCTCATTAGACTGTGTTTTGTGTACAGAGCCTTTTCCAGTCTTTTAAATATACATATACAAAAAGACTTAATGGAGCCCTGGATACTAAGTCATCAGGATGAAGGCTGTGAGTTGCAAACCTGTATAATGGATTACAATTCTATCAGGTGGTAAAAATTACAGAAAAGCTACAGCATTCTGGTTAATCCATTCAGCATTTGAAAGAAAAAACCCAAACTCATTATAGAATCGTGGCTAAATCTAAGAGCAAAAAAGTTGTCATTACTTTACCTTGTGCGGCAATGAATTTGTTCTTTTCTTGGTAGCCCTGGGGTGCGGGGAAGGAAAGAAAAAGAAAGAGAAAACCAAAAATGAATAAAAATGAAATTCTCCAGTCTGACTCCAACCAGTTAACAAAACCTCCCTTGTGAAAAGGTCCAGGTACTTAACAAGGATTTCCAGTCTAGATATTACAAAGTGGATTAGCTTTGGAGCTAGGAATTAAAGATTACAAAACTCAAATGGTCTAGGTAGTCTTCTCAAATTGAATTATTAATAAATACTAGAATAAGAAATCCAAATACTGAATCCTAGGTTAGATCATGTTTCTGATGCATTATCAGCAGCCGACAATGTAGGTTTCAGTGTTAATAGGTAAGAACTTACCGGGGGAAAAACATATGTGGTGGTTCTAGGGATGAAGCTGGTTTACTCTGGGAAGGACAATAGGTTATTTCCTTGAGGATGCTTTACCCAGGTGCGGAATCTTTCTGGCAATAGCCTGTTGAGTATGGTGAAGCAGCTCCCAGTGTTTAATGAGAAGCTTCTCCATCACAGGCAGTGGGAGACAAGAAGCAAGGGAGCCTGGGGGTACCACTCAACAGATAAGGATCCTCTGAAAAACTAACAACTGGCCGCAGCTTTCTTTTTCAGTCTTTATTGTTCTAGTTATACATCTTTTCAACCCAATTGTTTAAATGTATGTTCACTTGAGAAGTCCTAGGTAGGTGAAAGCCACTTGATTTAAGGATTGTGAATCACCCACTTCCTCTCTCAGACAGCAATAAAATGAGTAACGAGGGAGGCAGCTTCAGGGATGGGGCACCAAGTCATATCAACACCAGGGTGGCAATATGAAGTACAAGGCTGCAAGGCAGTGGCCAAATATAAGAAGGGGCCAAATCTGAGGAGCTACTTAAAAAAAATGTTTTTTATTTTAAGTTCTGGGGTACATGTGCAGATCATGCAGGACTGTTACATAGGTATACATACACCATGGTGGTTTGCTGCATCCATCCCCCGTCATCTACATTAGGTATTTCTCCTAATGCTATCTCTCCCCAGGAGCCACTTTCGTTTTTTTTTTTGAGACGGAGTCTTGCTCTCCCATCTAGGCTGGAGTGCAGTAGTGCGATCTTGGCTCACTGCAACCTCCCACTCCTGGGTTGAAGTGATCCTCCTGCGTCAGCTTCCCAAGTAGCTGGAATTACAAGTGTGTGCCACCACGGCTGGCTAATTTTTGTATTTTAGTAGAGACGGGGTTTCACCATGTTGGCCAGGCTGGTCTTGAACTCCTGACCACAAGTGATCTGCCTGCCTTGGCCTCCCAAAGTGCTGGGATTATAGGTGTGAGCCACTGTGTCTGGTCTGAGCAGCTACTTTCAATTTCAGTTCAAACAAGGGCAGGGCAGGGTTGCTGCCCAACACAGAAGGAGAAAGCTTTAGGCACCAGATGGGTATGTTTAGAGTCAGTAACAGAAGACTTGCTAAACTTTTCACTGAGAAGAGCAATTTAAGTTTCAACATGTTTTTATTTATTAGAGAATGGAAATGGAAATAGCCTTAATTCTGGATGGTAAATTCTGCTTATAGTACTAAATTAAACTTATAATTAAAACTGAGAAGTCCTTAAGGGTATGTTAAGCACGTCATATTCCTGCTCACAAAGAGTCACTGCTAAATTCTCATTACAGTAAGTGGGCCTTGAACAGCTTGAAAGCATGGTTGAAAGGCCCAGCCCCAAAGTGCTTCCTGTCCCATCTTTTACCAGGTGTGGGCCATTTGCTGTCCTGAAAACCTGCCTGTATAGTGATGTTGCAGCACTGCTTAACTAATACAGAGTAATGAGAATAAGGCAAAGCCACTGATCTTGTGTTATGTTCAAGGGAAAGATGAAATGTGGCTCCCTGGCTCCCAAGATGTCTCTAGATTCTGAAAGCTGAATCTCCGCTGGCTCTAGGTGGTAGCTACGTTCCTACCAGTAAAAAGAAACACATCTAAAGATCCTATATATTCTTAGACATCTAAAAATGAGCAAGGAAACTGGTTTCTCCTAAGGCTCTAGGCTCAAAGCCCACCTGCCAACTGTGTCACTGCCTCTGTTTCATCTCCTCCTGTGACCAGTGTTAGGTTAGCTTACCTATGTGTTTCCCAAACTATAGACCCCACTTTCCTCTGCCTTTCACCACTACTCCATGGTGCCTGGTTCCCTTTAAGATCCATCCATGTGTTGGTCTTAGTTCTCTCTGCAAAAAGTTAAGTGGTTGCTGGGGGGTGAGAATGGAGATTAATTGTATTTAGACACTGAGGTTCTTATTGGGGTGAGCAATGCGTTCTAAAACTAAAGGGGCAACAGCTAGAGTACAAGGTTCCTCTTTTGAAGGGATGATTATGTTCTAAAACTGACTGGTGATCAGCTGCATTTATCTGTGAATATACTAAAAAACTCTGAATTGTGAACTCTGGGTGAAATGTATGGTATGTGAACTACATCTTTATATGTAAAGTTGTCAGAAAATGTTCTAAAACATTTATGGTGATGGCTGCATAACTTGGTAAATTTATCAAAAATAACTAAATTCTCACTCAAAATGGGTGAATTTTATGTTATGTATACTATACCTCAATAAAGTCAGGGGAAAAAAAGGGTTTGGTAAGGGTTAACTAGCAGCTCACCAGAAGCATGCAACAAATGGTCCCTGAATTTGCTTCAGCAAAGGATGCTGCCCTACACACTAAGTCCAAAGAAACCTGTTCCTCTTTCCCACTGGATCTCTAATCTGCACATAACCCTGTTGGCTGCCAAACCCTTCTTGAGCCATTCTTTACTCTTGGCCTTCTCAGATGCTCTCCTCTCCGTCTCCTTCCATCTCACCCATGGGTACCTGTTCAATGTGCCTGGCAGGGGCTGTGGGTCTCAGGGGCCTGTTCTTGGCCCACTCCTCTCTTTAATAATTCCAAATCCACTCTAGAGTAGTTCCTATGAGCTCCGTTTAAATATGACCAACTGTATGCTGGATACATTCATGTGGGTATCACCCTTCACTCCCTCATATGTAAATCAACCACCAATTCCTGCTAAATTCTACCTCCAGGTAGTCTTCACTTTGTTGCTGCTTCCTTTTTGACCCTCATCATTTGTGATCTACCTGCTACTGCAATAGCCCCCAATTGGCCCCTCCTAAATCCATGTTGTACATGATAGCCCCAGTGATAAATATGTAAATGTGGTCACACTACTCCTTGCTTTGAACACTTTTCAATGACACCCCATGGCCTAGATAATTCATCAAAATCCCTTGGCTGTATTGAAAATTGGCAGACACTATGAGGTGGTTCACTTAGCACCCACTCCTGCTCCCTTCTAGCTTGACTATCTTACAGCTAAATTTCCCAGACTCCCTAGCAACTCAGTTCTCCATGAGAACTAGCAGGTGCTCCCATACAAGACTTGGGGTAGAAGTGAGCAACATGAAATAATGACTGTGCTAAAAATCTGGTCTTTGGCCAAGTATGGTAGTAGAAGCATCCAGTTCTTCTGCAGCACTGTGCAGATGTTTCACTGTGACAGTCACATGTTACATACATCTGTAGCTGCTCTGCTCTTTGCTAAGCAGCATCTGAGGTTGGTTCACTGGCCCTTCTATAGGTTTTGTAAGGTACCTGGTATCTTATAATAAACCCTTTTCTGCTTAAAAGAGTGAACAAAAAGTACACTTTGTAGTCTGCAAGTAAGAACCTCAACGGACACACTTGACATCCACTACCTTGCAAGATCGTCTCAACTCCCACCAGTTCCCATCTTATATCTTATAACCTAAGACTGCTGTTTCTAGTCTCCGTGACTTTGCTCATGTTTCTCCTTTGCTTTGAAGCTTCTGCTCAACTTTCTTCTCCTTAACTCTGACTCACCCTTCAATAATGAGCTCTACTGGATTACCAGGTTGGGTTGAATGTTTTTTCTCTGAACTCCACAGAACCTGGCAATACCTCCTTAGCACACATAGCACGTTACAGGAAACGATCTAACTACCTGTGCGGTATACGAGGGATCACATCTTACCCCTGTAACCTTTAAGCCTACCCACAGTACTTGGCACACAGCAGGTGCTCAAAAAAAGTTGACTGAATTTAATAAACTTCAAAATCCAAATCTTTAATCCCTGCTTCTTACTTATGGTTAACCACAGGTTTTTTCCTGCTTTTTTCCTTCACTGAGTCCACAAGGTCCCCAATTGAACTCTCCTTCATCTAAACTCTCATTCTGCTTTCTAATAACTGTCTAATAACCATCAAGGCATTATGGGATGCCCTAGCGTAAGCTCTAACTAAACATGGTCAAGGAAGAAGGCTGTTTCTTTCTACTGTGCTATTACCATGAAGAAATCCCCATCTCAGCTGCTCAACAGCCTTAACATGCAATTAATTCTTGTCAATTTTCACCTTCACTGTGGGAAGGGACCAAACTGGTTACGGTGGGACATGCTGCTGGTTACTAACTCAAAGTCATTCCTCCCTTTCTTCTTTGCCATTAGAACCAAAATTCTGTTTGGACATTAACCTTTCACTGGCTTGGAAAGTGTCCATTCTCCAGGCTCAAAGAGGTAAATCATGATCATTCTCAATGCCTACCCAGTGATTAGAGAGGGATGTGAGCATGTGATCCAATCCTGGCCTGCTGGTCCTGAGGACAGAGTGGTGGGGCGGATTCTGTGAAAAGCCTTGCTCCCTAACAGAGAAAAGCATAGGCATATATGTTACTCTTCTCTGTTAGATGCTGTGTTTATAAGGAATGCTTGGATGGCTGCAGCCATCTTGTGACCATGAGACTGTTGACAAGGGTAAGGATAACTGAGTAGAAAGATGGAAGCACCTGGGTTCTTAAGGATGTCATTGACCCATGGAATTAGCCAACTCAAGAACTGGCCTACATTTGTTTTCATATTATATGAGACAAATAAATGTTGCCGGCTAGGCACAGTGGCTCAAGCCTGTAATCCCAGCACTTTGGGAGGCAGCGGCAGGTGGATCACTTGAGGCCAGGAGTTCGAGACCAGCCTGGCCAACATAACAAAACCCTATCTCTACTAAAAATATAAAAAAGTGGCTGGGCATGGTGGCATGTGTCTGTAATCCAAGCTATTTGAGAGGCTGAGGCATAAGAATCGCTTGAGCCTGGGAGGCAGATGTTGTAGTAAGCTGAGATTGCACCACTGCAATCCAGCCTGGGTGTCAGGGCAAGACTCTCAAAAAAAGAGTTCCCATCTAAACAACTTTTAGTTGAGTATTAGCTTACCTGCAGCTGGACACACTAACTGATCTTGCTCTACTCTTCTGCATAACAAACACTAAAATCAACCTAATCCATCTAATCTCTTCACCATGATCTTTGATATTAAGTTCTAGGAATTCCTGCTGATTACTAGCCTTTCTCCCTTTTCCTTATCAACTGCAGCAATTATTTGTCTAGTCAGGGTCCCTTTTCTTAAAACTACAAACATGTAACCATTAATGTTAAACATACATCCAGGAACTTCAGCAAATTCACTGCAGTGAGAATGCCCAGACTGCCCCATTTTTGAAGTCCATCTAATAGCCTCTATTTTAGACACAACCTCCTGCTTTTTCATCTTTCTCCTTTTCTTATGCTGTTCTTTCACTTTCTAAAGACTTCAGTTCCTCAATCCCACCACTTTTTCCTAGAATATTATTTTATTCCTAACAACTTCCTAACGCTTTTCTTTTCTACTGAACCCTTCGCTGACTACTTGAAGCAGCAACTGACATTCCCTATTGTCTGAGTACCACATGCTCTCTGCATTTACCACCAATCCTAGGGTGCAGATGAAGAAAAAAAGAAGAAAAAACATCATACAATGCAGCACCTCTCACCCGCATCAGTGACATACCACTGTAGGCAGGCAGGCTCTCAGTGCAGCTAGACATGCCCTTAGCTTTCTCTCTTCAGTATCCTTTTCTCATGGACCTCAGAAGATGTTCTGAACTTTCGCTGTTCTTATGTCACAGGCCCATTCCATTTGTTTAGCAGACAACCATGAGAACACAGGTGAGTTGCCTCAATTTGCTTTACCCACACCTACTAGTCGTCTCTATCCATTCTGTCCTCTCCTTTACTCTCACTCTCAGAGGAAGAAACAGCCCTTCTTATGTTCACACTAATCTCTCCATCAGTGTTTTTTCCTTGGGGTAAAATACAACATAAAATGTATGATTTTAACCATTTTAAGCATACAGTTCTGTAGCATTAAATATATTCATACTGTTGTGCAACCATCACCACCATCTGTCTCCAGAACTTTTTCATCTTCTCCAGCTGAAACTCTGTACCCACTCCTCATTCCTCCCTCCCCCCCTCAACCGCTATTCTATTTTCTGTCCCTATGAATTTGACTACTCTACATGTGTATATATACTCTATATTCTGCATGTAGAATCATACAATATTTGTCCTTTTATGACTGGTTTATTTCACTTAGCATGATGTCTTCCAGGTTCACTCATGTTGTCGCATGTATTAGAATTTCTTTCCTTTTAAAGGCTGAGTAACATTCCACTGTACGCATGTACCACATTTATTAGTATTCATTTATCCATCAATGGACATTTGAAGTGCTTCCACCTTCCAACTTTTATGACTAATGCTGCTACAAACATGCATGTGCAAATTTCATCCACAGTTTTCTCATGCATCTTGTACCAGGAGTCAGGACTAGGTTTTGCCAGCTTTCCCTCTCTCTTTTTTCTGTTCAAATTCACTCTTCCTCACAATCTATAAAACATACTCTTAACTCTTTATGTGTTTTTTCAGGCTACTGGCAAAGATAAAACCAACCAATCAAAAACCTCAAATATCTCATAGAGAATGTTCCATAAACATTCTTCAAATCATCTTTAAAAGCCGCCTCTTAGTAACAACTCTTCCCTCAGGCCTTCGTTCATATATGACTGACTACCCAGACAGTCATATATCTAGTTATATAGCTGGTGTCATGTCATGTATTCTTGTCCTGTTCTCCCTTATTTTTACTGTCGAGGGCAAGGCTTGCTTTTGTTTGTAATCAGAATCAGCTCAATAAAGGATTCACTGACTCTTACCATAAAATAACATATTCAGACTCAGATTTCTACATGGGAAACCATAGGGAATGATGACAGGGTAAATATAAGGAAATGATTAAAACTATTTAACCTTAATAAAAAAATTCAGTCACTTAAAAAAACCAGACTTGTCAGGGAAAACATGAAATGACAAATATTTCTCCTAACACACAGTTGGGGAGGAGCCAAGAGATGGTGGCAATGGTCAGGCAGGGGGGTGAGGGGGGAAGCACCCGCTCCTTACATTGATGAATGAAGCATTGATGTAATCAGAATCTGGAACCCCTTCCACTGGTGTCAGGTGGACTCTAGAGTGGTCATCTAGGAAATAAACCAACAATGAATATTTCAGTAAAACCAAACTTTATTTCTCACAGAACCTGATGCAACCAGGACAGTTGAGACATCTGTGCCTACGTGCACAGATATGCACTTGTATAAAGATGCCACTCCGACACTATTCATAACAGCAAAAAATTGGGAATACCTTAACAATCATTAGGGGACTAGTTAAATAAATTAAGAGACATTCCCAGTGTGGAATACTAAGTAGTTGAGAAAAAAAAAAGTTTCTTGACAGATGAATTGACAATACATACTGTTAAAAGAAAAAAGAGAAATGTATACAGTATACCAATCATATTCAAAAATGTTATGTATTATATATACACACATACCCACATACCCTCCCCACCATATGCACATAAAGAAGACAAGGCTGAGCATGATGGCTCACACTTGTAATCCTAGCACTTTGGGAGGTGGAGGCAGGTGGATTACTTGAGGTCAGGAGTTCTAGCCCAGCCAGGCCAACATGGTGAAACTCCGTCTCTACTAAAAATTCAAAACTAGTCACAGTGTGGTGGCATGTGCCTGTAGGTAGTCCCAGCTATCTGGGAGGCTGAGGCAAGAAAATGGCTTGAACCCAGGAGGTGACACCTGCAGTGAGCCAAGACTGTGCTGCTGCCCTCCAGCTGGGGTGACAGAGAGAGAAAGAAAAAATAAAAATAGAAAAAGACAAAAGTATCTGTAAATGCACAGTGCTCCTGATTTTTTGGTTCCATACTTTACTTATAAAAACGTGAGCAGGGTACGATGGCTCAAGCCTGTAATCCTAGCACTTTGGAAGGCCAAGGTGGGCAGATCACAAGGTCAAGAGATAGAGATCATCCTGGCCAACATGGTGAAACACGTCTCTACTAAAATAAAAAAAGTTAGTTGGGCATGGTAGGGCATGCCTGTAGTCCCAGCTACTTGGGAGGCTGAGGCAGGAGAATTGCTTGAACAGGGAAGGCAGAGGTTGCAGTGAGCTGAGATTGTGCCACTGCACTCCAGCCTGGCACCTGGTGACAGAGCAAAACTCTGTCTCAATAAAAAAATAAAAAATAAAAATAAAAAAAATGTGAGCAGGTGCTGGGCAAGGTGGCTCATGTCTGTAATCCTGGCATTTTGGGAGGGCAAGGCAGGCTGATAACTAGGTCAGGAGTTTGAGACCATTCTAGGCAACATAGTGAAACCCTATTTCTACAAAACATACAAAAGTAGCTGGGCATGGTGGCACATGACTGTAATCCCAGCTACTTGGGAGGCTGAGGCAGGAGAATCACTTGAACTCAGGAGGTGGCCGAGATTTCGCCACTGCACTCTAGCCTAGGCAACAGAGCAAGACTGTGTCTCAAAAAAAAAAAAAAAAAAATTTGAGCAGGCATCTCTAATATATGTTTGTTTATTGATAAATTATGCACATATGCTAATGTATTATATACCCTGTAATATAAAATTTTTGGGGCCTGGGTGTGGTGGCTCATGCATGTAATCTCAATGCTTTGAGAGGTCAAGGTGGAAGGACTGCTTGAGGCCAAGAGTTTGAGACCAGCCGGGGCAACACAGCAAGACTCTGTGTCTAAAAAAAAAAAAATTAGCCAGGCCTGGTGGCATGGACCTGTATCCTAGCTACTCAGCAGGCTGTGGCAGGATTATTTGAGCCCAGGAATTTGAGGATACAGTGATCTATGATCACATCATTGCATCCCAGCTTGGCTAGCCCTGTCTCTAAAATAACAAATAAAACATTTGAAAGAAAGAATTTTTAAAAAGCAAATATAAGGGCTGGGCTAACTGGCTCATGTTTGTAATCCCAGCACTTTAGGACACTGAAGCAGGAGGATTGTTTGAGGCCAGGAGTTTGAGACCAGCCTAGGCAACACAGCAAGACCATCTCTACAAAACATAAAAATTTCACAGGTTCTAAGGATTAGGAAATTTTTTTTTTTGCAAAGCAAATACAAAAATCAAGTGAGGTGGATGGGTGCGGTGGCTCACACCTGTAATCCCAGCACTTTGAGAGGCCAAGGCAGATGGATGCTAGAGGTTGAGAGTTCGAGACTAGCCTAACCAACATGGTAAAAACCCATCTCTACTAAAAATACAAAAATTAGACAGATGTGGTGGCACATGCCTGTAGTCCCAGCTACTTGGGAGGCTGAGGCAAGAGAAGTGCTTGAACCCAGAAGGCGGAGGTTGCAGTGAGCCAAGATCATGCCACTGCACTCCAGCCTGGGTAACAGAGTCCACATATCTCATTAAACTCTGTGTATCACATTCTAAATACCACTGGCCTAGAAAAATGTCTGTTAGCTTATGGATCAACTGATTAGCAATAGCTAACTCTGGGAAGGGTTTATACAGAGAACTCTGTATTAGAATTTCTTTCAACAAATAGCACAAAAACCATCTCCACCACCCCACCAACCCCTGCTTCCTGTCTGATCCTAGTAAAGCTGCTTTCCAGGACCTCCTAGAAACTTGAGGGTCTGACACAAAAATCCTCCTGAATCACCCTAACTGACTGTGAGCATGTGGGGTCACCATAGGATCCATAAAGGCTCTTTTGGCCCAAAGTTTTCAACCTACTCTTTTTTATTTATTTTATTTTTTTGAGACAGGATCTTGTTCTACCACCCAAGCTAGAATGTAGTGACACAATCTTGGCTCACTGCAACCTCCGTCCCCCTGGGCTCAAGTGATCCTCCCACCTCAGCCTTCTGAGTAGCTGGGACCACAGACACATACCACCATGACTGGCTAATTTTTTAATGTTTTTATAGAGACGAGATCTCACCATATTGCCAAGGCTAGTTTTGAACCCCTGGGCTCAAGCGGAATGATTCTCTCACTTTGGCCTTCCAAAGTTCTGGGATTACATGTATAAGCGACTGAGTCCTGCCATGAACCCACTCTTGTTATCCATCCTGCTGTGCCCAATTGCAAGATTCTTTCCATCCTCAGAAAATCCCTCTAGAGATGTAATTTCAGGTTACATCCCAAAAAGCACTAAAGACACTCACAAGGCAAGATGTTTACATATCGATTTTTTTCCTTGTTTTCCTCCTTGGAAGCAGCCTCACAGGTGGCCTGGATAGGACAAGCAGGGAGAGCCTGAAAGGTTAAGAGAAATTAGAGGAATTATTAGCAGGGATAAACATGCAAACTGCTGTACCAAACCCTGACCTGGTAGCATGTTCTAACCTTTTCCTGGGGTTGGGGTGTAAAAACAGAGGCCCAGGTAAATACCTGCAGCCTAATACAGAGGATGAAACTACCCCGCTAAACAACCACAAGCTCCTTAGAGTTTAACAACACTAGAATCCTTATGGGGCAGAATGCCCTTTCTGGTATTCTAAGCACAGCATGCTCTTTACATGATTACTATGTGGTTAGGAGCCTGTTGTTATGATGCTGGGCCAAAATGGCCCACCATTGTAAACTGGAATGGTGACAAAACTGAAGGAATGGGCATTTATCCTCATGCTAATTACCAAAGATGACATGCATCTCAGAGTGAACCACAAAGGAGGGTTCTGGATGACCAGCTGATTTAGGCTCTTTCTAGGGATCTAAGGGGGCATGGCACCCCAGCCTGTAGCATCATGTGGCAAAGAAGCAAGGATTGGTGGGTGGGTGGGAGGTCATTGACATGGATACAGCAGTTAGGAACCAGAAGATTTGGGTGAGGTGACCTTAAATTTGCAGCAGTTTTGGAGCAAATGTAAATTAGCTAGTTATCACACAATGGTTTGACATGAGATCGTCTGGGTTTGTATGAACTTAAGCACATCTGTTAAACCTTCTAGGCCCAGTTTCCTCATCTTTAAAATTGGGGCCAGGCGTGGTGGCTTCACACCTGTAATGCCAGCATGTTGGGAGGCTGCAGCAGGTGGATCATCTGAGGTCAGGAGGATGAGACCAGCCCGGCCAACATGGCAAAACCCAGTCTCTACTAAAAATACAAAAATTAGCCAGGCAGGCATGATGGTGCATGCCCTGTAACCCCAGCTACTTGGGAGGCTGAGGCAGGAGAATCGCTTGAACCTGGGCAGTGGAGGTCGCAGTGAGCTGAGATCACACCATTGCACTCCAGCCTGGGCGACAGAGCGAGACTCCGTCTCAAAAAAAAAAAAAATAATAATAAACAAACAAATAAATAAATAAAATTGGAACAACATCTGCCACATAAGGAGTGAGAAATCTCATGTGTGGCACAGAATAAGTATTCAAATAAATGAGTTTCATGAGAATGGGAAGCTAAATTTTATTATTTGATCTGTTCTTCTCTTGTATGTTTCATATATTCGAAATTAAGGATGAAAAAAGCAGCTGGGCGTGGTGGCTCATGCCTGTAATTCCAGAACTTTGGGAGGCAGAGGTGGGAGGACTGCTTGAGGACAGAAATTTAAGACTAGCCTGGGCAAGACCTCGTCTCTACATTAAAAAAAAAAAAAAAAATTAGCCAGGTGTGGTGGTGCATGCCTGTAGCCTCGGCTACTCAGGAGGCTGAGGTGGGAGGAATACTTCAGCCTAGGAGTTCAAAGACCTGATCACACCACTGCACTCCAGCCTGAGTGACAGAGGGAGACTCTTGACACTATAAAAACAAATAAGAAAGCAAAAAGGGATATAGTTTAAAATTCCAACATTTATTCCAAATAAGTGATTGGAAATACATTTTATAAACCTTAAGAATACTTTTTGAAAATACTTTATGGTCTCGCAATTTCACTTCTGAGAATGTACCCTAAGGAAATAGAAATCTTTGTGTTCAAATTATTTACTTCATCATTATTTAGAATGACCCAAAACTGAGAACTGTAGTAGACAGCAGTAGAGAAACAAGTAAATTATGGTTTATGCATTACTTTTCATTCATTCTTTCAACAAATATATATTTTGTACCTACCAGGCACTGGGCTACGTACAGAGCAAAGAGCGAGGAATCAAATATAGGCACAGTTCTCACCCTCAACGACAATATAAACTTGTGGGTGAGGCAGACCAACAAATAAATCGAATACATATATAATTGTATAAATAATGAATGCTATCACAGAACAGAATGCTACTAGAGATGAAGTATCAGAAAGCACAAAATGTGGATTAAGGGTGGGTCTCTCTGAGGAAGGATGAGTGTAGAAAATAGTATTCTAGGCACAGAGAGCAGTATCTGTGATAACCCAGAGGAGGGAGAAGGCTTGGCTGTGTGAGAAACTGAAAATCAGTGCAGGTGTCACACAGAAGGCGAGGCTGATGGGAATGGCAGGAGGAAGTAGGAAGAGATGAGCTTGGCAAAGTCAGATCATTCATTTCCAGGTAGGTCCTTGAATAATAAGTTTGGATTTTATTTTAAGTGCATGAGGAAATCATAGAAGATTTTAAAAGTGTGATACATTTTCCATGTTAAAGAATTACTTGCGGCTGGGTGCTGTGGCCCACGCCTGTAATCCCAGCACTTTGGGAGGCTGAGGTGGGCAGATAACGAGGTCAGGAGTTCAAGACCAGCATGGCCAACACAGTGAAACATCATCTCTACTAAAAATACAAAAATTAGCCAGGTGTGGTAGTATGTGCTGGTAGTATCAGCTACTCAGGACGCCAGGAGAATCACTTGAACCTGGGAGGCAGAACAGAGGTTGTTGCAGTGAGCCAAGACCGTGCCATTGCACTCCAGCCTGAGTGACAGAGTGAGACTGTCTCGAGAAAAAAAAAAAAACTACTTGTTATTATATGGAAAATGGACTGGAGAGAGGCAAGAACAGAAGCATGGGAAAATGATGGTACAAGGAAACGGATGCATTTGAGACATATTCTGGAATTAGAATTACTACATTTGGAGATAGAATGAAGGCAAAATGGATTGGGACAAGAAAGACAGAAATGAAGACTGGCTCTCAGGTTTCTATCTTTGATTAAAAAAAAAAAAAAGACTGAATAAAGGAAATGCCAGCCCAAAGGGAACCAATTTTTATCAGATAGAAGCAAGTGTTTTCTCTGTTTTTTGGTTTTTTTGGAGACAGGGCCTTACTCTGTAGCCCAGGCTGGAGTGCTGTGGCACCATCATAGTTCATTGCAGCCTTCAACTCCTGGGCTGGAGGTATCCTACTGCCTCGGCCTCCTGAGGAACTGGGACTACAGGCACAGCACCACCATGCCTGGCTAATTTTTATTTTTCTAGAGGTGGATCTTGCTATGTTGTCCAGGCTGGGAAGCAAGAGCTTTAAGAAAGGAGCAAATATATTTATTGGAAACCAGCATGATAGTGGTAGGATAAATTAAAGTGAAAGATCCAAAGATAGGGGAATTAGGGCCTCAGAATCCATCCGCCCATACCTACTCAAGAGAGTTCCTTTCAGAATTAAAACCCTGGAGGTTCTGCATTTTGTTTTACTAACAGAGGCAATTCCCCCTGACCCTAAGCTGTGAATACATAAAAGGGAGAAGAGAGTTTCCTGGGCTGGACAATCTTACACATGCAGTAGAGACCATTATTTCAGATCAGAATTTCCCAATTCACCACAGTTTGCATTCTCTTCCTTCACATAAATTTAAACAGGTTTCCACCCACGTACAGGGCAGGATGAGATGTCAGTTTTTAAAGCCCCGATGACTAATCCAGAGGCACCACTTTTCCTGCACATCCCTTCTCTAAAATGTAGAACAGAGGTAGTGACAGCAAGACTCTTGAAAACAGTCTTCAATACAGAAATGTCAGGAATGACAAAGACTACATCTCACAGCCCTACCAGCATTCCTAGCTCCCCAAGTCATGATAAACAAAAACTAGGTCTCCAGGTGGACTAACACTCCTAAAAAGAGTTTCAGGAAGAAACAGAAGTCATTTAACAAGAGAGAAAAAAGGGATTATCCTGGAAAACACAGTGCTAGATGCAAAGGTTCAGACTGAAGAGGCTATGTCAGGGATGAAAACAAGGTAAATCCTACTGCTTTTGTTTCTACTCTGGAAAACCCAGCTCACAGAGCTAGGAAGGAGCAGCTAGAGCAGAAGCCTATAAAATGTTAAACTCTCTAGAGACACTACGTTTCATCTCTTGCTCATGCCTTAATTGGAAGCCAAGACTAAGTACTCATTCATTTTTAAAAAACATGTCAGTTAAATGAAAATTTTGTTTTTCAAGTTTGTTTATTGTTTAAAAAGTATCCATCACGTAATTTAACTGAGAAGTTGTTTGGGCTCCTCTTCTTATATCCTCTTCCTTCCCCTCTCAGGTAAACTTGAACTTTTAAAAATATTTATCATTACATTGCTTTATTTGTATCTCATATTTTTTTTGCATCCAAAACAATGTATTATTATTGCTAGTCTAGTTCTTGAGGAAAATGGAATTGTGACTAAGTGATGAGTTGTTTTTGGGTTCAACATTACCTTCCTAAGATTTATCCTGGATGTTTGCTTACTTCAGCTACTTTGCAGTGTCCATTTGAGACTGTATCAAAATTTACTTGTCCATTTTACAACTGATGAATATTCGGATTGTTTACAGTTAATAGTCCTGCTCTGAGGCAAATTTTTATCTCTTTCTTGTGCATATGTATAAGAATTTCAGGTATAGCTATCTTTAACGTTACCAGATAAAGCCAAATTGTTTTCCTAAGTAGTTGTACTAATTTTACTCCCACCAGCAATGTACAGTGTTCCAGTTCTGTATTGTCATCAACATTTGCTACTGTCAGACTTTATATTAACTGTAGTTTTAATTTACATATCTCTGATTATTAATGAGATTCATAATCTTTCCATAGCATACTGGTCAAAAGAGCTTCCTCTTCCCGTGTTGTCTTACTGGATTACTTCTTTTCTTTTCTTTTTTTTGAGATGGAGTCTTGCTCTGTCACCCAGGTTGGAGTGCAGTGGCATGATCCTGGCTCACTGCAACCTCCGCCTCCTGGGTTCAAATGATTTTCCTGCCTCAGCCTCACAAGTAGCTGGAATCACAGGCACCCGTCACCACAGCTGGCTAATTTCTTTTTGTATTTTTAGTAGAGACTGGGTTTTGCCATATTGGCCAGGATGGTCTTGGAACTCTTGACCTCGTGATCCACCCGTTTCGGCCTCCCAAAGTGCTGGGATTACAGGCATGAGCCACTGCAACCAGCCTACTTACTTTCTTAACAATTTGTAGGAGTTTTAAAAAATATATTCTGGATACTCTTCCTTTATCAGTTACCTGTGTTATCTTTTACCAAGGTTGTGGCCTTCCCTGTCATTTTTTTAAATGATATCTTTATATAAACAGAGGTTTGGCATTTTCATGAAAATTCATCAATCTTCCCTTTTATAAACATTTTAAGTCTTAAGAAAGTCTTAAGCCCTTTCCTGTTGTGAGATCAGAAGTATGTTTACTACATTATGATCTCTACATTTTATCATTTTTGTCCTTTAAATTTCAGTGTTTACAGTAACTGGAATTGGTTTTAGTGTTTGGTATGTGACAAGCATTCATTAATTCCCAGTGCTACCAATGGTCCCAGGCACTATTTATTGTGAAGACCATCTTTTCCCCACCCAACTGCAACAGCATTTCTGTCATAAATAGGTTTCCACTTACACATGGATCTACTTCTGGACTTTTTATTTCATTCCATTGGTCAGTCTATCCCAGTGCCAATACAGAACTGTTTTAATTACTAAAATTTTATGATCTCTTTATATCTGGTAAGGCAGGTCTCCTCACCTTGTTCTTCTTCTTCAGGAATGTCTTGGCTATTCTTGAATCTTTTCTCCTCCATATAAATTTTAGAATCAGCTTGTCAAGTTCCACAAAAAACCTGTTGGGATTTTTATTGGAATTGCATTGAATCTATATATCAGTTGGGGGAGAACTGACAACTTTACAGTATTGAGCCTCCTAATCCATTGATCCTATCTCTTCACTAATTTAAGCTATTTTCCTTTAATTTCTTAAAACATTTTTATAATTTTCTCTAAATTGTTAAATCCATTCCTAGGTACTTTACATTTGGATGCTATTGTAATCAGCATCTTTTAAAAGGTATTATTAGGTTTTCTGTTTGTGGCCTAGGTATAGAACTGCACTAAATTTTTATGCTGCTTTTGTATCCAGCAACCTTGCTAAAATAACTTATTAATTCTATATGTCTGATGAATCTGTGGGGTTGTCTGAAGATATTTGGTCTGTGAAAAATTTATATTTTGTCTCTTCTTTTGCAATCCTTATACCTTTCTTTTCTTGCCTAGACCTCCAGTACAGGTCTGAATCTCATTCACTTTTAAGTCTTAATCTCCTTTCAATACTCTCATTCAATAGTCACCAGTGACTGAATACTGCAGTGACGAGAAACTTACTACCTTCCAAGGTAGGTATTGGAACTGTTCTGTTTAAAAGGACCCAACACCCAGATACACGATTTCTTTTCCATTTCCCTTGTACTAAGTAATGTAAAACCCAGATGTCAGCTGGCACTTTCTCTGTCCCTTGCAAAGCCCAAACTGCCAACTCTCTGGACAGTGGAATTCCAAAGCCCTTGTCACAGTTCCTACTAATTCCCATAGGACTTTGGCTGTGATTCACTTATTTTGGGACAACTCATGAATGCAGAGGCAATTTCGCCCATCTCAACTCAGACACCACACTCAGTCCCATTACCAGATGACATACACATGCTTTTTTCACCTGGCAATCTAAGAATTAACTGTTACTAAAGATGTGGGGTCCTGAGGAAGGTCACATCTCGCATTACACAGATTCTGACTATCTCACTGGCTTCACCTCTTTTCCTCTTTTCTTTCTCTCCTATCCCATTTGTCTCAGGAGCTAACCTTTTTTTTTTTTTGAGACAGAGTCTCACTCTAGTAGCCAGGAGGCTGGAGTGCAGTGATGTGATTACTATAGCTCCAAGTGCTGGGCTCCCAGTGCTGGGCTCCCAGTGGTTCTCCCAACTCACTCTCCTGAGTAGCTAGAACTAAAGGCATGTGCCATAACACATTAAAAAATTTTTTTGGTAGAGATAAGGTCTATATTGCCTAGGCTGGTCTTAAACCCCTGGCCTCAATCAATCTTCCTGCATCGGCTTCCCAAAGTGCTGGGAGATTAAAGATGTGAACAATTGCACCCGGCCAGAAACTAACTTAATTTTATCCTTTTGTTTCTTTTTAAACCTTGATAATGCCTTACGGACCTCAATTTTCCCAGAAAATAGGGGCTTCTTAGTGGTTTTTCAAAGTGTTTCTTTAAAATAAATTCAATGATTTCTCCAAAGACAAATGCTGGCAAACAAAAAAGCTCCAGCTTGTAATTAGGATGAAAGCCATAGCCTAGAACTTCCAGTCAGGTGGGCATTCACAGAAATGCTACAGTCTCTTCTGAGCCTGCCAACTATGAGAAAGCAGTTGTTATGTCCTATGCGTGTTGTTCCTTTAGTTATTCACCCCCATGGTCCAGTCTTTCTCTAGTACGACATCCCATTTGGTGATATCACTTTTCACAGCGACCTGACCACAAGACTCCTGACAGTTCAAACTACGCATAGCAACTTCTTTATTCTAGATGTTATATATCCACTGAAGCAAACTAAGTCCATTAGCTTTATCTCCCATATTTAAAAATCTGCTTTAACTATATTACAAAAAGAATATGCTTGTTGGGTCAGGTGCGGTGGCTCACACCTGTAATCCCAGCACTTTGGGAGGCCAAGGTGGGTGGATCACAAGGTCAGGAGTTCGAGACCAGTCTGACCTACCCTGTCTCTACTTACTAAAAATACGATAATAAATTAGCCAAGTGTGGTGGCACGTGCCTGTAATGCCAGCTACTCAGGAGGCTGAGGCAGAAGAGTCTCCTGGACCTGGGAGGTGGAGGTTGCAGTGAGCCAAGATCGCGCCACTGCACTCCAGCCTGGGTGAAAGCATAAGACTCTGTCTCAAAAAAAAAAAAAAAAAAAAAGCTTATTTTAAGTCAAATAATTTAGTAGAAAACAAAGTCCCCTATTATATCTCTCCTCTCTTCCAGCCCCCTTGTAGGCTACCACTGTTGACAATTTGTAGTCTTTCAGACTTAAAAAAAAAAAAGCATTAACATACCCAAACACACACAGATATACATACTTTTGAAAACAAAAATGAAATTATGCCACGTTTTCTCACATAACAATATGACTTAGAGATCTATGTGAACACATTTATTTTAATGACAGTATAGAATATCACAATGGATATAAGAAATTATCTAGCCATTCTATATGTCAGATATTTGCTTTTTTATCTTCTTTGCTATTACAAATAATGCTGTCATAAATACCCTTGTAAAAATACGTATTTGTACAATGTGGGTTTTTCTGTTAAGAGTCCCAGAAGCTTGGTCAGAAAACTCAAACATTTAAATATTGATTGGTACTGCCAAAATCATCCCTCCAGTGCAATACAAATTTAAACTCCCCCACCTCTGTGTAAGTCTCTGAAGCCCCATACTTCTGCCCACATTTGATATACATCTTTTTAAATTTTCAAATCTGATAGGTCCAAAATAATGGTTAGCAATCTGTACTTCCCTGATTACTAGATATAGTTGATCTTCTTTTCATATCTTTATAGACCATTTGCATTTCTTCTGTAAATTGCCAATTTCCTGACTGGGTTTATCTTTTTCTCACAGGTTTGTATATTACGGAAAATTATTTATGGTAAACAGATGGTCCCAGTTGGCCACTTTTTTAATGGCATCATTTGTCACAGAGATGTTTCACATTTTAATATATTTATTATCTTTCAAACTTTTCCATTCTGGCATCTAAATCTTAAAAGTAGCTTAGAAAGGCCTTCCTCATCTGATGGTTATTAAAAATATTGTAGACTCAAATTGGTTTACCCTATGTGCTATTTCTCCTCTTTCCTCCCAGGGCTGACTGATCCAAGCACAGTCATACCTGACTCATAATGGGCCAATCAGATTCTCTCCCAGGATTCTGAAAACTAGGGAGAAGCAGGGGCTTTCCTAGAAGGCCCCCAAAGCCACCAAGGTAAGGTGTGCTCTACCAAAGGCTTGGTACTCCAAGCCTCTTATCTTTTGATTCTGCCAGCTCCTCCAATGTCTTCCCAAATCAATAGTTCTGTTTGTTTTTTGCTTAATTTAGTTGAGTTGACTTCTCTTGTTTTTAACTAAAGGACCTTAACTGATTTAGCAATTAGTATCAGAGTGGGTTGTAGTGGAGACTGCTGGGGGAAATGCAGGTGATGTTACTGGGTTCAGATGGAAGGACAGAAACTGTCAACCAATTTCCACGATGGGAAAGAGCAAGCTGCTCACAGTTCATAGCTGCACAACTACTATTTTAGTTATTGCCTGCAACTACCTGTGATGTGTTCCAGCTGGTGGTAAAGGAGTGGGTGTGTCCCAATTAAAAGGAGAGGAGGAATGTTGAAACCAAGGAGTAGGATTACTTCTGACAACATTAGAGAACAAAACAGGAAAAATCTCAGCTCCCGTATAAAATGCTGACCTCCAAATGAAAACCCGAGACTAAGGGCCTTTACATACTATGTACATATTTTGATAAACCAAATGTTAAAATTTCCGAACTTTGCTAGTTGCTGAATTTTAATGCCAATAGACTTCACATCTTTTCTGGGTTGCTCATATCATCAGAAAGATAAGGCTTTAAGTGAGACAACAGAAATGATGATAAAAGAAGAGAGGACCTGAAGAAAGCTAATTTCCAAAAATCTCTTTTATGCTCTGTACTGCATCTTGCTTTCATGATGAAAACTGCCCCACAACCCAGCCTGCATTACTCACAGAATACAACCATAACATGATCTGAGGGTAAAATACATAAGTAATGTAGAAAAGTAAAATGTTGGCCAGGCACAGTAGCTTGTGCCTGTAATCCCAGCACTCTGGGAGACCAAGGTGGGAGGATTGCTTGAGAACAGGAGTTCAAGATCTGCCTGGACAACACAGCAATACCCCCATCTCTACAGGGGGGGAAAAAAGTAAAGAGCTAATAAAAAGCCAGAAGAAATGGCAGGAATTCACTGAGCTGGATCATTAAAAATTATAGGAACAATTGTTGATATAGATTTTGGAGACCTTATAACAAAGAAAGGAGAGTATGACTTTTGGATGAAGCCACATTTCTTTTTTTCTTTTTGAGACAGAGTCTCGTTCTGTACCCCAGGCTGGAGTGCAATGGCACAATCTTGGCTCACAGCAACCTCCGCCTCCCAGGTTCAAGTGATTCTCCTGCCTCAGACTCCCGAGTAGCTGGGATTACAGGCACTCGCCACCACACCCAGCTAATTTTTGTATTTTTAGTAGACACAGGGTTTCAGCATGCATATTGGTTAGACTGGTCTCAAACTCCTGATCTCAAGTGATCCGTATGCCTTCGCGTCCCAAAGTGCTGGGATTACAAGTGTGAGCCATAGCACCCAGTCTGGATAAAGCCTTCAGCAAGTAGTGTTAACAGCTCAGGTAACTGGCCATGGTTTTAATGTTGAGCTAGGTTGGCCAGTGGAAACCTGAACTGAATACTGGATTTAGTGAGGTGATAATGAAAAGCCAGAAAATCCTTGGCATAAAGTAGAGGAGTCCAGAGTGGTACATGGACTCTAAAGGCTCAGCCTTCCACCAACACCTTCAGTATGCCCTTGATGGGATCCATAACACATGCCTTGCTGAGGCTGTACATTGGTGATGAAAGCACTGGAATCTTTCAGAAGTGTTTTCCTGGCTGTCTTCAGCAGAATGAGATGCTAGATGGAAGGGACTACTTCAAAATGGGATTCTTGATCTAAGTGAGATCCACAACACATGCCTTGCTGAGGCTGTACATTGGTGATGAAAGCATTGGAATCTTTCAGAAGTACTTTCTTGGCTGTCCTCAGAAGAGTGAGATGCTAGTGGAAGGGACTGCTTCAAAACGGAGTTCTTGATTTAAGTGAGTTAGAAAGACTGTTGGAGACCAAGATCAGATGTTTATGGCTGTGAATAATTCATTGTGAAGCTCCCAGTAATGAAAATGGAAGATAGCTTTCCAGGTCAGTTTAGGCAGCCTACTAGACAACCATACTAGAGAGAAGGCTCCCTCATCCATCTCATTTCACAGATCCAGAACCCTTCAGTAAGGGGGCAGTCAGGCACCTGTAAGGTGGAACCCTGCCACAGTGCATTAACACACATACTATAAACCTCCCTTCTCATCTTTTCCTAACAATCTGCCAACATTTACCATGATAAAGTACTAGGTAAAGGAAAATGCATCTTTTGGGGTCTGCTGGGTTCTGGCCTTGAGGTGACTAATTCCTGGGAACTCAAAATGTCACTAAGATATGCAAGTTAGAACAGAGGCTTTGCAGGCCAGGTGATGGAAGGAGTTTTGGCCTGAGGTGGCTTCACATTAGAAGCTACCTATTAATCTATCTATTCTATCTATCTAATCTATTTATCTAACCTTATCTGTCTGTCTGGGCCTTTCTATCTGTCTGTCTGAGCCTATTTATCTGTCTGTCTCTCCAAAAGGGAGGGAGAGAAACTAGTTGCCCCAGGCTCTGTGAAGTTGGCCAGCCCTCCTCTGTGCCACCTCGATTTTCAATAACATTGGCTGCTAGGTGATGCCCAAAGACACACTGATTCCCTAGCCCACTGGATAAGAACCATTACAGAAAGAGCAAATGTAAGCTCCCAGAGCAGTGATCTCTTTACCAAAAGGCTAAGTCTCCATGTGAACTGCAGGATCTTAAGTGCTACAGTTGCAGTTGGGTTTCCAGATGTACTCTACAGTTAATCTTCCAGCAGATTAACACATAACCTCATGGTACCTAGACTATTGCTAGGGGCAAGTGTATATTATTCTTTTTGAGTTGTATGGACTACTTGAAGCATTTTTCTTGCTCATGGCAGGAACAGCCTCAGTGATAAATTATCTTGATCTTTCTGTGTTGTGATCTGACTCACCAAGATTTTGTCTATTTCATAGGACATCACTCTGACAACTATGCTAATGACATCAATGTGAGACATGGAAGAGCAGGAAGTTACATATCTTAGATGTCTATGTTAAGACATAAGAGTATAGTGGCCTGCCACTTCAGCTAAATTTTCTGAAAGTCAAAGGCCTGCAGCACATCAGGATATTTCCTCCAACATAAAGGACAACTTGCTGCTCCTTGCCCCACCACCCCTCTCTTCTGCTAACAAAGAGGAGCAATGCTTGCTGGGCCATTTTAAGTTTTGGAGACAGCAAATACCTTATGCTTGCATCCAACTCTGATCTCTTGATCTAATTTATCAAATCAATCCGTCTACCTACCTACCTATCTATCTGGAGATAAGGTCTCGCTCTGTCATGCCAGCTGTGGTGCAGTGGTGCAATCACAGCTCACTGCAGCCTCAAACTCCTAGGCTCAAGTGATACTACCACCTCACCCTCTGTAGTAGCTGGAACTACGGGTGCATACCACAAGCCCAACTAATTTTTTGTAGAGACAGAGTTTTGCCATGTTGCCCAGGCTGGTCTCGAGCTCCTGGGCTCAAAGCAATCTACCTGCCTCATCTCCCAAAGTGCTAGGATTACAGGCATGAGCCACTGTGCCTAGCCTCTGACCAATTTATTGAGTGATCTGAAGAGAAGCTGCTCCTGCAGACATAGGCCACAGAAAAATAAGCTTTGGTAGACTGTATGGAGCTCTAAAGTGTTTGTAGTAAGATAAACAGAAGAATCGTAATGAAAAATCTTAAAATATGAGGATAAGACCATGCTCCTAGCCTAGTACTGGGCTCTAAGGTGGAGACTGTAAGCCTGATCACAGACACAGGTATCTAAATGACTTCAACTCTCCATCATAAACTAGGTGTTTTTTTCTTTGTGTGTGACTGAGTTTTGTTCTTGTTGCCCAGGCTGGAGTGCAATGGCCATGGTCTTGGCGCGCTGTAACCTCTGCCAACTGGGTGATTCTGCTGCCTCAGCCTCCTGAGTAGCTGGGATTACAGGCATCCACTACCATGCCCAACTAATTTTTATATTTTTAGTAGAGACGGGGGTTTCACATCTTGACCAGGCTGGTCTCGAACTCCTGACCTCAAGTGATCTGCCTGCTTTGGCTTCCCAAAGTGCTGGGATTACAGGTGTGAGCTATTGTACCCAGCCTTGTATACTAGGCATTATGTGATCCAATCAGCCATGGATTTGGACATGCCCTGCAGAATCCCACTATCAGCTGGAATTGATCTCTATAAAATGCCTACCACACAACTCACTGCCTCAACAGATACTCTGACTTCCTATTGACATCCACAGTTAACTGAAGAAGAAAAAAGTCTGGCCTGGTATATAAACTGCTTGGTGAAACATGCTGGCCCATGCTGGAAGTAGACTGCTATGGGATAACCTACTTAAGTGATGGCTTTGAATGTGTATAAAGGAGAAATCCTCTTAGTGAAGAGGACTTCAAGCAAATTTTCACACTATTTATCTTACCGAAGATCAGGATCTAAACCAATCAGGACCTAAACCAATTCTTTTCTTGTTTTAGTTATTCTAGGGTAGCGAATAACTAGAACAAGAAAAGAAATATTTATGTTCCATGTGAATGCTCACCAGATGGCACTCATTGCTAGAAACCCAGGTGATAATGGTCAGCTCTTTCCCTTGCTACCCTAGTGCTGGGCCAATGAGCTTGTGAATATGGTTACCATGGTAGCACAGCAAACGGCTCTCACCACAATATCTATCTGAATTTACCTATCATGCCTCTAGAAATACCATCACCATCCAGGGATTAACTCAAATGCTTTATCACAGGGTCTCAGGGAATATTACCTCAAACAAAGAACTTGTTTCAGGCTTATGTAAATTTAATGTTATGAAAAAAAAAAAAAAAAGAACTCATTTGACAGAAAAAGCATAGGAATGGGATCACATACCTTATCACCCAGAAGCAGTTGGTATTATAGATTACAAAATAGTATAATGCCTAGCACAGATCCAGCTATGGTACTGAGGCTGGGGTGCTGTCTTGTGGGATGTGGTAAAATTTTTGTTTTTTTTTTTTTGAGATAGAATTTTGCTCTTGTCACCAGGCTGGAATGCAATGGCGTGATCTCAGCTCACTGCAACCTCTGCAGCCCGGGTTCAAGCAATTCTCCCACCTCAGCCTCAGCCTCAGCCTCCCAAGTAGCTAGGATTACAAGCACCTGACACTCGGCTAATTTTTGTATTTTTAGAAGAGACAGGGGTTTCGCCATGTTTTGGTTTTGAACTTCTGACTTCAGGTGATCGACCCACCTCGGCCTCCCAAAGTGCTGGGATTATAGGCATAAGCCACTATGCCTGGTGGGATTTGGTAAATATTATCAGTCAATAATGAACATTAAATGGTGCTATTTTTCCAATTGCCCCAAAAAGGGGTCCAAGCTATTCTGTTAACTCTTGCCTGGTAAATGGTCTCCCACTAAAACTCCTGCCTCTCCCTTCTATCTATTCTCTATATTGTAATTAGTGATTTTTTTCAAAATGCAAACCTGACATCACTCGCCACTCCCCTTAAGCCCTTCCATCGTGGAGCAGATATGAACGGTGACACACCCGACCTAATTAACCATTCCTCCTTTACCAGAGCTCCTATTCTATGAGGTTGTCAGTCCATATCCCACATGACCCAGGAATATTAAAAAAAAAAAATTTTTTTTTTTTTGAGGCAGGGTCTGGCTCTATTGTCCAGGCTGGGGTGCAGTGGTGTAATCCTGACTCACTGCAACCTCCACCCCCTGGGCTCAAGCAGTACTCCCACCTCAGCTCCCAAGTGGTGAGGCTATAGGCATGCACCACTATGATCAGCTAATTTTTGTATTTGTATTTTTTTTTTTGGTAGAGATGGGGTTTTACCATGTTGCCCAGGCTGGTTTCAAACTCACATGCTCAAGCAATCTGCCTGCCTCAGCCTCTCAGTGTTGGGATTATAGGTGTGAGCCAGCGTGCCTAGCCTTGACCCAGGAATAATCTGGACTGGTCTCAAGTCAGCGACAGTAACCTTATTTCTCCCTTGCTCATGACTGGTTTAAGAAGGAGCATGTGACAAGATTAGTTTCCACTAAGCCATGTGTCAGCTTTGCATTGTAGGCTGGCTCTTTTTTTTTTATCAATGGGGAAAAAAAGAGCCAGCCTACAATGCAAAGCTGACACATGGCTTAGTGGAAAGGTGTGAAGGAAATGGACAGTTTAGCAAGGCCCCAGCTGATGTATTTACCAACTCTGGAACTGCTCCTCTATGTCCTTAAATCCATTCCCCATTCCCTACTCACGATCACTTTAGGTCAATCTATCAGCACTTTTGATATTAACACCTGCAACCTCTAACTGTATTCCCCACAACTATTCTGGTCTGCCCATGGGCTATTCTACATAATATAAGCCACAGTCATTTTTTCAAGATATAAATCTGGCTGGCCTACGGCTTGCCAATTCTTTCATGACAATCTACAAGGTCTATGGTCTAGCCAGCCTTCTTTCAGTTTCACCTCTGATCCTCCTTTGAAGCTCTGCCCTTTAGATGCACACAGCACTTAAATGTTTTGGATGTGCACTTCCTCAACACACTTACTCCTGACAATTTGCTCCTGCTTTTTTCCAGTGCCTAAATTAGGAATCAATTAAAACATCATTTATTCAGCTGGGTACAGTGGCTCATGCCTCTAATCCCAGCACTTTAGGAGGCTGAATCACGAGATCAAGAGATTGAGACCATCCTGGCCAACATGGTGAAACCCTGTCTCTAGTAAAAATATAAAAATCAGCTGGGCATGGTGGCACATGCCTGTAGTCCCAGCTACTCGGGAGACTGAGGCAGGAGAATCACTTAAACCTGGGAGACAGAGGTTGCAGTGAGCTGAAATCACGCCACTGCACTCCAGCCTGGCGACAGAGTGAGACTCCATCTCAAAAAAAAAAAAAAAAAAAAAAAAAAAAAATCATTATTCAAGGAAGCTCTTCTGATCTGGGATTGGGACTGGTAGGCTAGGATCCCGACTGGTGGTTTACAAACATATTCTGCTTCCTTGTGGGAATTAAAAAAATATGAATCTAAATACTCAAGATAAGACTTGTGCTCTGTAGTCTCCCATGGCTCTCATTTCTCACACTGATCTATTCTACTGTCAACTTTAAACACTCTAACACCCCTGCTCTAGACTCAAAAAGGCAACCTCTTAATATGGGTGCCTACAAATATGCACCAGTCCTTTATGTGCTGTTTTGCTGTTTGAACTTACATAGCCATTTTTGTTCCTGTTTGTGAGGTTTCCCTCCTGGACAGTTAACTCCTTGAGAATAGGGATTGGATTTGTTTTTGTTCCTCATCATATCCCTGGTAACTATACTACTACCTGACACATATTAGATGCTTGCCAAGCATTTACTAAACAAAAGAAGAGATGTGATGATGAATGAATTAATGAATGGGTAGATTAGGGAGGTGAGGCAAATCTCACTTCCTATCCTATCCATGATTATACAGAAAGTCAGATAAACTTCACTTCTCACCTCTTAAACATTAAAAGCCCACTTTTTACTTCACGACTCAAAAGGTCTGAAAGATCTGACCTTAGGTCTGCCTTCTTCCCTGATGATACACCAGCCTCAACAAAGTACTCACGTTGAATTCCTCCCTGAAGAGCTTATTGTCATCTGCCATTCTTCGATTAATTTCCTCTTCCAGCTTGTCCACTGGCAGGGGTGGGTACTTCCTGTTGGTGCTTGGGGATCTGGCCAGAAGTGGCACACTCTGGGGCTCTGAAATACACAAGGGAGAAGGTCAGTCAGGTTCCCTAAGTCACCTAGCCCCTTTTCTGGAGGCCAAACTGGGGATTCTACCTCATGGACTAAGCCTGCAGGAACTAGGACTGTTCTCTTCAAAAAAATTTTTTTCTCTTTTTATTGTCTTATTCTTTTAAAAGGATGGAGACACTCCTAGTTTCTTGATTTTCTTCCTTGTGAAGATTCTCATGACATTAAGGAATGCCTTACCCACATCCTCAGTGCGGCCGTTGGATAAGCGGAAAGAATTGGAATGGCTCCCAGCTTGCTTGTATTTCTTAAACCTAATGAGAAAATGATCACAGTGAAGAACGAAGCACAGAGGTGGGAGAGGCAAATCACTGGCTCTATATTCTTGCTCATCAATTCAGCCTTTCTAAATCTCCTTTACAAATAATCAGGTTTTTTTAGAGACAGGTCATGCATACCCTAAGGCAGCAGCATGCTGGGGTGACCGAGTACCTCAGGATACTCCTGCTTACCCTCAGGACACTGGGACCCACCAGAGAACCCCAACAGTATATTCAGGCTCATGTGGCTCACTAGAGAGCACCAGGTGGAGAGAGGGTAAGTGAGTAGAATACAGTTGGGGAAGACAGATAATACATATCACACAAAAATCCTGTTATTTCCTCAGTGTAGCCTGGGAGTCCCAGTGAGAAGCCCAGAGCTTTGGATTGGGTGGACACATTTCTGGCCACAAGTCTCCAGCAGAATGATGGAGACACATGACAAATTACAGAGGGCACACGATTCCCCTCTCTTTATCCCTGCAGAAGAACAGAGGGAGCACAGAACAGGTTAGGCCAAAGATAAGGCAGGGCTAAATCTTAGGTTCCCCTTCCTTGCTTCTGCTCGAGTGGTAATGTCTAGAGGACCCTGAAAGAAGGGCAGAAAGAGGGATCCTGTAACTCACAACTTACGTGGCTCAGTTCAGAATGCCAGGGCCAGGGGTCCCAGAAAAGTTTGGGGACAAAGCCCCAACTAGAAATAAAGTAGGCTTTTGTTGAACATGTAAACTTACTGGGGCCTTTTCAGGTGTTGCTTCAACAGAACTAGACCTAAAGATCCTGAAACACCTGTCACTAATAACAGCCTGTGGCTTCTTACCACAACCTCCAAACTACCATCCTGTACTTTAGGGTGCACTAGAGTTGGGGGACTGGGCTTGGACAGAGAAAGAAAAAGGGAGGGCTTAGGACTTAAAAAAAAAGACTATGTAGAGCTTTTAAACTACTTCTAAGTAGAACTTCAATTTCACCACCATCATAGGTCACTCCCCCTCTATCCTATTCACTGTCTATTTACTACTGTCTTCTGGACTGTGTGGGTTCACTGAGACACTTGGGTATTAAAACAGAATCTAAAAGAATGCGAAGTGTTAGTAGGCTCACCTTAACATGTACAAAACTATGATAATAAACACGATCACTAGCAGAGAGGACAGGGCCACCATCACTGCAATAATTGGCGTCTCATCTGAAATCAAGAGAACAGAACAAGTCATTACTGTGTTGTGCAATGGAGGGCTTAAGTCAGTCATTCAGGGGAACACCTTGAAGAGGAAGAGCTCATTCAGTCCTTCTATGAATGGCAGAACACAGAAACAAAGAAGAAAGTCTGAGTGTGCACCTTCCACTGCCATGCCAGGGCTACTGAGGTGAGGTGGGAAGAGAGCATGGGGCCCAGGATGACATGCCCACCACATTTCTGGCTATTGTACATTTATTTACTTTGCCTCCCTGCATTAGAATAAAAGCTCTTTAAAGGCAGATACTTTGTTTTACTCACTGCTATATCCTTTGAGCCTAAATCAGTACTTAGCGCATAAAAAGTACTCCAATATTTGGAGGCATGAACAAATCCAATCCTAATGGCAAGCTAGATACGCAGGGCCAACTTTGTACTCTCTCTCAGCTCTCATTGGGCTCCAACTAGAGGAAGATGGGAGAGGAAGGTAAAAAGAGAGTTTTCCTATCATAAACCTAAATGTTTTCCTGGCACAGAGAACATTGTTCCTGATTAAAACAAAGAGACAGGTAGGGCGCAATGGTTCATGCCTGTAATCCTAGCATTTTAGGAGGACAAAGCAGGTGGACTGCTTGAGTTAAGGTATTCCAGTCAAGGCTGAGCAACATGGTAAAACCCTATCTCTACTAAGGGTGGGTGTGGTGATATGTGCCTGTAGTCCCAGCCACTTAGGAGACTGAGGTAGGAGAATCCCTTGAGCACAGCAGCCAGAGATTGCAGTGAGCTGGGACTGTGACACTGCACTCCAGCCTGGGCAACAGAGCACGACCCTGTCTCAAAACAAACAAACAAACAAACAAACAAACAAACAAACAAGGAGTGTCGCAGGTTTGGTGGCTCATGCCTATCCTAGCGCTTTGGGAGGCTGAGATGGAAGGATTGCTTGAAGCCAGGAATTTGAGATCAGACAAACGAAAATAAAATATAACAAGGAGACATTATTAGATCCTCAGCCACCATGTAACAAAAAATTCTGTATGCTTCTTTCTTCCTCTTTACACACCCTGTTCCCTTAGTCACCCTTTTGCCAGGACCCCAACCATGGCAACATCTGGCTTGGAGACATGACACCCCCACCTCATTCCACAGAGTCTGGCTCCCTTTCACCCAATACCTAACCTTGTTTTTCATGCAGCTGGCCAGGATCTGACTCATCCTCCTCTACGCTTACCCCTGACTCCACTCCATGAAATATACCACCAGAGTGGCTTGGAAACTATCTTCACCATTTTCCTACCTGCTAAAAGGGAAGAGAAGTCCCTCCCATGTCAAGGTCAATCCTGTCACGTGTGCTCTGGATTACATCCACTGCTGACACCTCAGACTTGTCTCCTTGACCTCATTTACCCTCCCCCAGCCACCACCAGCCTCACATCTCCCTTCTCTTCCACACACTTGTCTAATTGGTCTTCCCTTCCACACAGTTGTCTAATTTATCCTGTCTAATTCCTTACCTCCAGGTTCTCCTTAATCTATTTGCTCTGACTCCCACCCACAGAGCTCTGTTTAAACTGCTCAGCCAGAACACCAACAAACGTCATATTGCCAAATCCAACAGGAACATTCCCATCCTCATCTGATTCAACCTTTTAACAGCATTCGTTGAAATATTTGTGGACCAGCAATTGCATGCCGTTGTTTGAGACACTGGGAGCACAGACGTATTCAAGCAGACAAGTGACAGAAAGCTTACATTCTGTGCAGAGGAAGGACACTGTTCATGAACAAGTCAGTACTTAATTTTAGGCAGGGACAAGTGCTATGAGGAATAAAAAGCAGGGTAGGGAGAAAGTGACAAGTTGGGGAACAGTGATAGAGTGGTTTGGGAACATCTCTGAGGAAGACCAGAGGGCTCTATGAGCAGAGCCTTAAGTAATATGAAGTGAACCATGCAATGATCTGGGTGAAGAGCTTTCTAGGCACAGGGAGCAGCCAGCATGGTAGCTCTTAGGAGCTTGGCGGGTTCAAGACACAGCACAAAGGCCAGTTCAATGTAAGATGCGAGAGAGGTGAGCAAGAGTCAACAGATTTAGGACTTGAGAGTCCATTGTAATGACTTTGGATTTAATTCTGAGTGTGATGTCATTGGAGGGCTTTGAACAGAGGAGAGATATAACTGGATTTACATTCTCTTAAAAGATCAGCTAAACAGATCCATAGGCAGCAGCCATGAGATGAAAGGTTAATTTAACAATGTAGTGTCATGGAAGCCAAGAGCAGATTTTTCCACAGAGGGAGTAATCAATTCAATCAACTGCTGCCTACAGATTTAAGTAGGATGAGACAGAAAGTGAAACCAGATTTGGTAAGATGGTGGCTACTGATGACCTTTCCAAGAGTGGTTTCGGATGAATAGTGGGTAAGAAAGCCTAAATGGAGTGAAATAAAGATAGAAAAAGGATAACGTGCGCCAGGCGCAGTGGTTTGCACCTGTAATCCCAGCACTTTGGGAGGCCAAGGTGGGTGGATCACCTGAGGTCAGGAGTTTGAGGCCAGCCTGACCAACACGGAGAAACCCCATCTCTACTAAAAATACAAAATTAGCTGGGCATGTTGGCTCATGCCTGTAATCACAGCTGCTTGGGAGGCTGAGGTAGGAGAATCGCTTGAACCTGGGAGGCAGAGGTTGCAGTGAGCCAAGATTGTGCCATCGCACTCCAGCCTGGGCAATAAGTGTGGTGAAACTTTGTCTCCAAAAAAAAAAAAAGAAAGTAAAAAAGAAAAGAAGGACAAAGTGAGACACTGGGTCCTTTCATTGGGACTTTTAACATTAAGGGATGCAGAAAAAAGGAGTGACAGATGGAGGGAGATGTGAGGTGGATAACTGCTTTTTATTTGTTTTTGTTTTTAAAGAGATGGAAGACATTACACCATGCTTCTTTGTTAATAGTAAGTTTCAAACATACTGTGGTATGTGGCTTTCATCTTAATCTCATGCCAGTTAGAATGGCGATCATTAAAAAATCTGGAGACAACAGATGCTGGAGAGGATATGGAGAAATAGGAACACTTTTACATGGCTGGTGGGAGTGTAAATTAGTTCAACCATTGTGGAAGACAGTGTGGCAATTCCTCAAGGATCTAGAAATACAAATATCATCTGACCCAGCAATCTCATTACTGGGTATATACCCAAAGAATTAAAAATCGTTCTATTATAAAGACACATGCACACGTATGTTCAGTGCAGCACTGTTTACAATAGCAAAGACTTGGAACCAACCCAAATGTCCATCAATGATAGACTGAATAAAGAAAATGTGGCACATATACACCATGGAATACTATGCAGCCATAAAAAAGGATGAGCTCCTGTCCTTTGCAGGGACATGGATGAACTGGAAACCATCATTCTCAGCAAACTGACACAAGAACAGAAAACCAAACACCACATGTTTTCACTCCTAAGTAGGTGCTGAACAATGGGAACACACAGACACAGGGAGGGGAACATCACACACTGGGGTCTGTTGGGGGGTGGGGGTCGAGGGGAGGGATAACATTTGGAGAAATATCTAACGTAGGTGATGCGGGGGATGGAGGCAGCAAACCACCATGGCATGTGTATACCTATGTAACAATCCTGCAAGATCTGCACATGTACCGCAGAACGTAAAGAAAAAACAAAACAAAACGAAAAAAGAGCATTCAGACTGGCTGATCACTCCTTCCTCTCTGAAGTACTTTCCTCTCTCAGCTTTCCGCAACAAAGCACTCCTCTGATTTTCTTTCTATTTCTTGCCTGCTCCATCCCTGTTTCCCTCACTATCTGCTCCTCTTCCAACATCAAATCTCTAAATATGGGACTTCCTCAGGGCTCTGTCTGTGGCACTCTTCTCTATATCTAGTTGATCTCATCAGAGAGATGACGGTAAATACAAATGCCATGCTAGCAACTCCCATAGTTTCTCTGCTTGGTCAGACCTCTTTTCTGAGTTCCAGACTCTCAATGGCCTATTTGCCACTTCCACTTTAAATTTCATAGGCAACACAAGCTTTCTGTGTCTAAAACCTTTCCCTTATCATTCAGTAGGTCCTCCCATCTACCTGTTGCTCAAGTAAGAAATGTGGAAACCCCCTTGATTTCTTCCTCACAGTTATCTTCTATATCTAGCCCAGCTGCAAGTACTATAGAGATATATATATATAAAATCTCAAATCTGTCTGCCTAATTATTATTTTTTGCATTTTTTATTGCCACCAGTGTAGTCCCAACTTCCATCCTCTCTCACCCGGATCACAGTAAGCCTCTGTTCCCTGCCAATCCATTCTCTACAAGCAGAGTGATTTCTAGGAAAGCAAATCAGGTTGTGTCCCGCTCTTAGGTAAAACCCTCCAAGTTTCTCATGCCTTAGAATGAAATCTAATGGCCTTATTCTGAAGTCTAACAACCTCCTAAATTTAGCCTCTACCTGCTCTATCTTTTGCACTCTTTCCTTGCTCACTCAACTTCAGCCACTGGCATCCTTCCATGCTGAGTTCATTCATCCCCAGGTCTTTGAACACGTTATTCCTTCTGTTTTACACAACGTTCTTTGCTTGGCTATCTCCTAATACTCATCTGGTTCTCATTTTAAGGGTCAGTTTTCCCACACAAGTCTTCTCTGACTTCCTAATTTTCAATCAAAATCGTAAGTCTCAGTTTCCTTATTTCTGAAATAAGTTATTCTGCATATTAAATGAGATCACCCATGTAAAGTTGTTGGCACAGTAACTAGCACACATTATGTACTCAATTTTAGCTGTTATGGCCGGACATGGTGGTTCATGCCTGTAATCTCAGCACTCTGGAAGGCTGAGGTGGGCAGATCACATGGTCAGGAGTTCGAGACCAGCTTGGTCAACATGGTGGAGCCCCATCTCTACTAAAAATACAAAAAAAGTTATCCAGGTGTGTGGCATGCGCCTGTAATCCCAGCTACTTAGGAGGCTGAGGCAGGAGAATAACT